CACAAGTTCACAAGCCATCACTGCATCACACAGTCACACACCCGACGAACGTGAACGACATGCAGAAAAGAAAACTGGTACCTAGCCGGTAGCCGGTAGCGGTAACCAGCCACCAGCCGAGACGCTTCTGAGCAATGCCACCAATACAACAAATTCAGAAGCTTTTCAGCAGCAATGCCGCCAACACTGCCAACACAGCTTGCAACAACTTCAAACATTTCATCATGTCAGCTATCCAAACAGTCAGACAGTCCTTGTTACTTGTTGGTATGTTGGAACAGTTTTGGTCCGTCGTGATTCCCCGGCGCTGGATCTACAGCAGGCATCGCAGCTGAGCTTGCTTTTTGTTTGGAATCGTCGGAGCTTTGGGAGTTAAGGATTGGGGCTTGGAATCTGAAGCTTTCTGCACTTCTGCACTGAATTTCTGTCTCTTAGGGAGGCACCTTGAATTGAAGGGTCTTGAAGCCTTGACCGTGACCGCTTCTGAACCCTCCTTCCGGCTCTCTTAGAAAGGAACCTCATTCAGAGGGTCTATCACCCCCAGGGTCACCCATGCTTGTCACTGTATTCCTGGATGCCTGCTTGTCTCTGCGAACCTCGGCTGCCTGTAACATGGCCTAGGGCCTAGGACTACATGGCTGTGAATGTTACATGATACGACGACAGTTGCAGCATTCCAGTGCTGGACACCGTAGAGTACATAGGAATTGAGAATCCTGAGCCGTCTTGACCGTTGACCGTCTTGAGCATTGAACTTGAGCATTAGAAGCAGCATGCAGCATGCCGATATACCGCAAGCTGCCGTACGCTTTCTCGGGCTAAATTAAATGCAATAACGACTGTCAGTCATGTTGACTTGTAGAAGACCTTCTTACGGCTTTGCCACACATGATATCCTCAGTCACCGTTTTCCTTTGGTTCAGGTGTTGGCCGCCGCTGGCCTGCTCGTCACGGTCGTCACGCTGCAGGCCAGCTGTTCTGTTCTTGTGTCGTTCTCCTGACAGCCTGACGTAGGGGTCCACGAAGGGTTCACTCCAGATTTCTTCATGATTCAATGATTCATGCTGGCTGATGCGGTGCAGTCGGACTGCTTCGAATCGAACTACTTCGGATGAGTGTTTTGGCACGAGCTAGATCCCTTGTTAGATCTCTGGCCTATTCCTCTCTTGTGCGTTGTGCGTCATGGGCTCTGCTGCTTCGTCTATCCAACCGGATTGGTCTGCGATGCCGATGTCTCCCAGCACTTCGACTACATCGAGTCCGGAGAGCCTGCTGCGTCGAAGCCCGGGATCGCAAAACCAAGAGGAAGTGAAGAAATCGAGCAGCGAGCCAGAGGCATCCACGGCGTCCACATCGACCATATCCAAGGCGACGGCAGCGATGATGACCCCCGACTGGGATGCTTGTTCTCCTTCCGTTTTCAAATCGGCAATCCGTACACCAAAGCGCAAGCGGAGGCGGTCACCGGTTGCAGGCTTGTCGAAGATGGAGAATGGTTTGGAGGCAAAGCAAAAGCAGCTGAAGCGGAAGCGGCAGCCAAGTACTACTACTGAGGAGGCGGTGGATGCTGATGCATCCAAATCCAAATCCGAGGGCAATGCTGTTGCTGGCTTGCACAAGGGTGCTTGAAAGGCCATGCTAGGGCTAGATTGTGCAGCCGGGGGAAGGGGCAAAACTCCCGTGCCAGGAATGATGGAAAACATGCCGTGCTGAGCAGTGGTGCAGTGATTCAGTGATTCAGTGATTCAGCAAGTCTCCAAGTTCAAGTTCACTGCACTGCCTAGTGATTGCCTAGCAACTTCTCTGGTGGCTCCGTTCAGTCCGTTCAGTGCCTTCCCCTGACAGCCTGACAGCCTTTCGCATCGCAGGCACTGAGAACGACGGCATCGAGGTGACGGTCGGTGACGGTGAGGTCAATTATCGAATCTGGTCTACGGTCTACGTATAGACGTATAACTACAACCATAATCTCAGTCACAATCGACAATCGCCGGCATCCCGACGTCATGCACAATGCACACCGCCGCCACCACCACCACCACCGCCACCACCACCGCCACCGCCACCGCCACCGCCACCACCACCACCACTACCACCACCACCACCACCACCACCGCTGGTGCAGCCAGTGCGCCAGTGCACCATTGCACCGCCACTGCAGCACTTCAGCTGTACTGAGCTGACACTGATCCACGGGTCCACCGGTTGACTATCGGACTATCGGACCAGCTGGCCACTGTCACCGACCGTCACCACCACCGGCTGCCATGAGAACTCCGTCACCGTGCCGGTCGATCACAAGCGCGACGGCGCCAGAAGCTGTAACATAGTGTTTGTCGTTCTAGTATCTAGTATTTTGATAAGTATATAATGCATGTGCAATATAATTGGTTTCTACATATACAACAACAAACGATAAATATATATATATATATATATATATATTAGTGATTGCTGCTCTCCGTTACACAGTGTGCATGGTTCATGTCAGCCGCCACTTGCAAATGGTCCATGGAGCCCATGTACAACAGTCATGCTAAGGCATGCTAGCGATATTCATATACTCAGTGCTCCACGTCCATACCATGCTGTCTCTACTCTACACTGGCTCGCACTTTCCACCGCTGAGCAATATACAATATGCAAGGCATGAAGACATGATAATGCTGATGTTACTGATGTTGCTACACTACAACGCATGGCCGCATGGTGATTGCCAATTGGCGTCCATTTCAGTACATGTCGCTGCAGCGTCAGGGTCAGATCCTTGCCAGCCATGTAGTCGACAGGCTCGACAGATCAACACATATCAAACGCCCAGTGCCCAGGGTAACGTCACAAGTCCCTAATATTGCGATATTGCGATATTGCGTGATTCAAGGTATCAGATCCACATGCCACAAGCAATCAATCAAGCAGTAAGTTGCAACGGAGTCTAAGATGGTAGATCTGACATGACATCAGTCTGACATCAGTTATCAAGTTATCAAGCCATATGCCAGTTGAAGGATATAATTTGCAGTCCGCCGCTACAACGCTACACTATGTTAACAAGTTAACAAGGTGCGGTATGGATACTGATACTGTGCATGTTGTGACTGGCTGTGACTGTGAGGCATGCAGACTCAGTCAGCGCCGAGCTTCTCGTTGTTGCAAGTTGTTGCATATTTCATGCCGAGCTGCAGGATGTCTATCAGCTATCAGACCAATTTCGGACTAAAATGTAGTGTTCAAAATTCAAATTCAAGTCGATCACATTTTGGATCCGTTCAACAATTCAACACCTGATTCAGCAAAAAAAAAAAAGCAATGATCACACTGTGTTTATCCTTGCATTGTCGCCTTTGTTGACAATACTGATCCATACAGCCATACGGCCCATATGATGTGAACAGTGTTAAATTGTCAGTCTCGCTGTATTGTAGGTTTGTGACGGTTTGTGATTATTCTGCTGTGCTAAGATGTTGCGGCATTGGCCAAGCGTCTGGAATCTGTTTCCATTTGAAAAAGTGAAATTCATTGCTTTGTCTCTAGCTTCTGATTGTAAGTCATATGTGTTTCAGTGTTTCAATTATCGAGTTCTTCCCGCACTGTCTCACTGTGGGCTCAAAAATCATGAACCCAGCATTGTTTCCGAGGGCAAACGTCAAGCTCTCTTCCAAACTTTTGTGGGTGTTCTTGAATCTGTATTTGCACCAGGAGAGTGATACAAATCATTGTCTGGGCATCTGTTGGGTGAGTCTTTGGTGAGACTAGTGCCTGGAGCAGCAAACAGCTGGCTTCACCACTCAGCTAAGATTGAAAGTCCTGATCCGACTGTCTAATGTTAGAACTGAAAACCAGCTGTGGGCCAGAGGCTTCTCACTAGAGCGGAAATCCAGACCATGCCGGCGTGCACAGAACAAGACGCAGCGAGTGCGGAGTGCTTCGCACTGCCTGTGCTCTTCCTCTGAAATGATATGTGATATGTGCTTTCTCATGCATATGTGCCCGAGCAAGCGGCTTGCAAGCAGTGGTGTTTGTGAGCGTGCCTTCACCAATAACTTTCGCAAGTGTTGCCAGCTCTTCCTCACTGTACCAACAAGATTCAGCAAGGGAGTTGTCAGAGTTGACTGCGTGAAACAGTGACACAGAAAACTAAATCACAGCAAGTGGATGAAGTGAGGAGAGTTGTAATGAGTGACAGAAAGCATGCGGTCGCTTCTTTTCATTTATTTGTTTTCACTCATTAAACTTCAACTCCCACAGCAGTTGACAATGAGGTAGAAAAGAAGTAGGAGGGAGATGAAGAACCAATTTCAACTGAATGAACACAGTGGAAAGAACTGAAGTTAATTAGTTCTGTTTTTTTAAAGAACTGCGGTGCCGGGCAGGCCAGTGCGCCTTGGTGTAGTATGCATGGGAGCAAGCCCGGCCCGTCGTAAAGGTCAGACTCGTTGGTTCGATGAGCTGCAGGTCTGAACAGTATTTGCAGGGCGAACAACTGAGAGCATTGCCCGAGGCTGCCCTGGCCAAGAAGCGCCCAAAGCAATTTTCGAGGTTTGCGGAGTTGCAGGCTTCAGCACAAGCAGCGAGGACTAGGATGTTTTTGGTTGTGAGACGGGAGTTGCAACAGGACGTTGAGTGCATGGCCGAGCTGTAAATAGTCAAGCAAGCAGTGCGGCCACATCTCTGTCTGTCTCTCTTTCTGTCTGCCTGTCTGCCTGCCTGTCTGCCTGTCTGCCTGCCTGCCTGCCCGTGATCCCTGAGACCTCTGCGCGATTCTGAACCGTAAGCAACCTATCCAACGCCCGAAAGCCCCTCAGCGGCCAAGATCGCCATGCTACAGGGGTCCATTTCAAGAGGGAGAGTTTGCGGGGCAGTATGTGGATTCAAAGGACGGGGAAAGCGGGGGGGGGGGGGGCTTTGCTGGAACCTCTGACCGCTGCGGCTGGGGGCCGAGGTGGAGGCGAAGTTTGTAGGATTGAACCGGGCTTGGGGTTTACGTTTATGTGGTTGATATGCAACAGCTCCAGAGCTCTTGGGGTCTTACGTGCCGAACCGGGCCACAAGCCAATGATGGCCTAGGCCCAAGTCTAGGCGTTGTTGGTCTGAATGAGGTCATCCCCTATCGCATTGAAAACGGATACTGTGGTTCCAAGGAACTGCTGCAGAACATCATCCTTCCTCTGGCGGAAGCAGCTGCGAACAACTGCAAGCTGAAGTGCCAGGCTGGGATGGGCTCAGGGGCCTTGGGACTTAGGGTCGGCTTTGGGCTGAGGGCTTTGGGACGCTGTCCGGTCCAGGCCTTCCTGGACGGCGAGCCCAAGGACGGCGCCGTGCGGAGGCGCGAGCGCTCCAAAAAACCCTTGGAAGGCGAAAGCTCCCTCTTGGCTTGCGAGGCTCTACGGCGCCATGATCATGCTGAACCGGGACCCTGCGAAAGCCCTGAAAGAGGCCCTCGAGCTCCGAGGCTCGGGCTTCGCCTGGAGGGAGAGATCCGAAGGTCTCAGAAGGTTTGGGATGTTGGGGCTGGGGCGTGTTGAGGCTTCAGCAACTGCACGGTCTCCGACCTGAAGCTGTGGCCCTCCCGGGTCTGCGTGGTCATCAACTGGTGAGTGCAAGCCGCTCCGAATCGGAGCCAAAGTCCGCTGCAGCCACAAGAAACAAACTGCGCTCGAACTCGCCGAGAGCTTCGGAGGTGTGCGAAATGTAGGACCGACTCGGTGTCGCTGTAGGCTGTGGCTCAGTTTTGCTGGCCGCACCCGTTATAATCCCCAACCGAGCCACGCAGCCATCATCAAAGAGCAGCAGGAGCAACACGTGGAAGCTGCAGAGTTTAGACAAGAGTAAGATCCCCGCCTGTGTCTGCGGCACTGTCCCATTGTCCTGGGTCCTCGCCCTTGCAATGGCGAAGCGTGGCCGGCATCTCAGCAGAGTTCCAAAAGCCTCCCTGGAGCAGAAGCGCTCCAGGGAAATCCGGTGGCGCCGGCGTGAGCCTCATGAACCAGAGCAAAAAGCCGGTGCCCGAGATCTTTCCGTGTCAACATGAGACCGACACGACTAATTTCAACATGCCTGGTGCAGAGACGCGGTCGCCAGGCTGAAACACAAGAAGAAGAACAGGCCAGGGAGCGGGGTCCGGGGGTTCGCGCCTCTCATCCTGTGCCATTGAAGTGGCATCCTTAACAGGAGTGCCCGATACCAAGAGAAGCAAGCAGCTTCCCGGAAGGAAGGCGCAGCCAAGGCTCCTGCTTGGGGCCCTTCCAGAAAAGCGTGACACGGCGAGTTTTGCCCTGAGAGAGGCGAAAGCAAAGCCGACCAAAACGGGGCCAAAGAAGTCACCCAAGACCAAGCCCGGGGCCCCTGAGCGGACGGGATTCTGATCACGGATCAGCAGATCCCATAGCTGTCGCAGGTCCAAAAGCTCGCCCAAAGCCTCGCCGAAGGCCTCGCCGAAGGCACTGCGAAGCTGCGGCCTCGCAACAGAGTCTGACGGTGCTTCCATCTGGGCAGGTGGCACCTGCTGCAATGCAGGTGGACTCCTAGTGATCTCCTGAAGGTCTCACCCGCCACGAGCATCTCGCGACGCCCACCGGACAAAACCACGAGCTCCCATGCGCAGCTAGAAAGACGAAGACGTAGCTCGATGCAGATGATGCCTTTGCCCAGGTGCCGACGCGGACGCGCCCTCGGCACCTTACTACGTCTCTTCCCAGAACAACAACGAGCTGACCGCCGCTGCCTTCGGATCAGCGCAGTTCGTCGGAGCTCGAGTCCGAGGGCCCCCCCCACTTTTTTTTCAGCCTCGGTCCGAGGTTGGCTGGACTTTCTCAGGCCCGCAGCGCAGAGGGGCAGAGGGATGGTGGCTGTGGTGGCTCTCCGGGGTGGTGGAGCCCTGCCCTCCCGTCTCCTTTCAGGATCGGACGGCGGCTCGTCGATCACAACCTGGTGGGGCCCTTATCCTCTAATGTGCTCCGTTCACCGCACGTCTCGGAAGGAACATCTACTACGCCCTTGGCTTTGCGGCTTCGAACTGGCCTGCAGCCAGCTCGCCAGATGCGACGACCACCGTGGGCCGCTGCCTCGGCTGCCGAAGGGCACGAAGCACTCCTGGACTCCTTGCACTGTCACTGAGACACGTCTCTGTGAAGGCACGGAGCAGGTTGTGGTGGATTGCACCAGCATCAGCGGCCACGGGCTAAAGCGAGAGCGCCTTCAACCAAAGCGGCGAAGCGTCTTCGGGCGTGCACGAGGCCAAGATCGGTCGCAGAACTTCGTGTACATCCGGGCCGGAGCCACAAATGCTGTCTGTTTAGGGCTGGTTTTCTCTCGGGCGGCAAGTCATGGCATGGAATCTGCTAATTGCTAATTACTGTACCATTGCTTTGTCCAGAATCCAAGCAGAAGGTTGCAGCAGTGACCGGCGTGGGCGTTGGCCAGTGCGCTCAGCTGCGGGATCCTATCCATGCTTCGGGCAAGATAGCTGGGCCATGGATAGCCAATCTACATCATGCTCGCAAAGGCACCGCAGGGGATTGGCTTTGACAGGTACTCTCCCATCAGCCGCCTGTTCTGCGCAGACAAGCCCGCGGCCCCGACCGTGCAGGGCCCTCAACACTACGGAAAGTTCAGGCTCGTAGTCCGAGTCGGGAGGGCTCTCTGTCCGGATCCGCCGATACCTCTGCATACTGTCAAAATCAGTGGTTGAAGGGCTGCGAGCAACTCGGGGGAAAATGAACTTGGAATTCGAGCCGGTCCTAAAGCCCGTCCCGTCGTGGACTCAGGACCAACGGCTACTCTGGCTCCTCGAACGCGGCCTGGGCCCTCAGCTTCCCCCTATGGGTTCACTGGATGCCCTTGAGATGAGCTCAGGTGACAGTGAACTTTGCAGAGGGCTTGCTCCTCGGAGGGGCTTTGCTCGAGTCCGCATTTTGGCTTCCGAGCAGGCACGTGGTGAGCGTTTTTTGGGCTTCGCTCTGAGGTTCGCTGAATGGTGCTGAGCTCTTGGCCTTCAAGGCCCCAACAGCACGCTTCGCAAAGCGAAGTGGTGCAGGGTCCAGGGTCCAGCCTGGCAGATCTACATGGACGACGGTCTCGGCGGTGCCGTGGCCCTGCGTGACACGGTTGCGGACACGATGGGGCCTTGGTCATTTCTGACTTGTGACATTTAGGGTGTGGCCGCGTGTCGGGGGTGTGGCCCTGCCCCTGGCTGGCGACAGGTCTTCTCGGTCCTACACCGCAACTGGTCTGACTGCGAATTCCGTGTACGTCGTGCAGGCACGGGGCTGAAAGCGCAACTTAGGAAGACGTGGCTACATCCCTGGTCTGACAGGTCAGCGTGGTGACCACCACCGCAGAGTCGGATCTCTCGACAGCTTTGACACTGCGCTCTTGCCCGCTGCCGGACACCCCCAGTGCGCCCGCCGCATCCCAAGCGGTCGCCGGAACCGGAACTGCTCAGCATGCTGCATGGTATTGCACGCTTGATTGCCTGCGCTGCACCGAGTCCCGAAAAGCTTCCACCGCAACCACGATCACGCTCGAGTGGACGGCGCCGGCGGACAATGGCTGCCCAATCACAGGGTGCCCTGGCAGTCTGGAGTCCTTTGCAGCATGAAGTCAGGGAGAACATGAACAGTCCAGTTGACAGCCGCGACATCATCACTGGTTGTAGTCTTCTTGCAGGAGAAATTCAGCGGAGACATTTCAGGAGTCGCATGGGGCACTGGGAAGGTGCATGCTGCTGGAGGCGGCAAGCAAACAACAAGCAGAGAAAGGAAGGATTCCAAAACAACTTCCGGCTGCCGAGATTTGGAAAGGACCGGAACTGTGCCGGGAAATGGCGCGGTTGGTCCAACTGGTCATGGAGACTCTCAACCAAGCCGCGTCACATACGTCTTTCTCGTCATCTGTGTCAAACATGCCGTAATTTCTTTTCAAGCACGGATAAAGGCGGATGCCAAACCAAGATTTGGGATGATTGCAAGACGCAGCAAACACACACTGTCGTCTCTCTCTCTCTCTCTCTCTCTTTCTCCATTTTTCTCTTGGTCTCTCCGTCCCTGACCAGCATCCTGTTTCTCCTCAAGTTGTTGACTTTCATGCGACGGAGATTCGCTCAAGGTATCGTGTCTACATCGACACGAACCTGGATGGCACGTCAGACGGTGAGATCTATCCAGGCTTTGGGTGACGGCTGATGGGCAACATGTGCACATTGCCAAAGAGCACAACGATAGCACGAGGAGTTGGCGATGACACGGATCCTTTGGACACAAGTGCGGATCCCAGCAAGCAGCCAGCATGTCGTGCACGGGAGGCAGAGAAGGGTTTTAGATCATTGCTGGCCCGAGATCTGGTTGCAAACGTGGTGGAGTACCAACACACAGGCAGTCATTGTCTTTGCACCGCTGATGCCATGACTCTGCATGTCCTCTTTGACGGTGCTGCCTCGGGCGAAGGTGTCTTAAAATCCGTGGGCTGCACAGGCCTCTCATCTGGGACGCTGTACGCCTTCCGGGTGCGTGCCTACAACAGCGGCGGGTTCGTCGAGAGCAATTGGGTCTCCATCAAGGCACTCGAACCTCACTTGTCCGGACTTCGGACCTCCAGTACCGGCCTTTGCCTTCGCAGGCAGCGGGAGAGCCTGCTCAAATGTCACCACCGACTCAGGACTTCAGAGCAAGCAATGTTGTCAGGCACTTCGCGTGGAATCTTGACGATTTCAGGATGCAAGCACCGGCAGTGCCACCAGCATAGTCCTGGTTCTCGGCTTAGTTGTGTTGTTCCTGCAGCTCACATGATGCTTTCCGCAGAGTCGGTATGTTTGCAGTGCTGTTTTCCGGTCCAACCGCTCCTCCGTGGGTGTCGCTCTTCGGCTTTCCAGCCGATCCGAGTTGGAACAGTGAACAGTGAACGGTCGGGCACACCCTGAGCGCAGGGCACAGTAGCTCTGTCGATTGCGATCTGGCAACAACGTCGTCGAAGGAAGGTGTAGCCAAGTTGCATGACTGCTCGAACACAGCCGCCATCGGCAGCAACTCTTCGTTGCCCCTTCCACCACCGAGCCTGAAGCTCGCACCGTTGTGTTCCTTCTGGTGAAGACTTCCGTAAGAACCCGGGCCTCGTTTCCCGAAAGCGTTGCGAAGGGTTCATGCGAGGGGTGAGGTTGATGGCAGACAAGATGTACATGGTTTTCCTTATTCAATCCAAGAACCCACGGGGCAGGGCTAGTGGGAGTCGTTGCGCATCCTGTCGTTGCTGTAGCTGTCGGACACTCGCCCCATGCCAAGCCCTGTCACTGCGGACTGGGGGTTCTCGAATGAGCCCATCTTGATGCGGATGCGCAGGGCCTAACCCAGAAGCTGAGTATCATGGGGGCACCAAGGTCTACAGCGTTCCCAGCATGGAAGGCGGCAATGCAGTTGGCTTCAAGGCCCCGGCGTTGCATGGGGCTAGTCACGTCTCATCAGTGAGGCACCATTTGCATCTCAATATTCCTCACTTCCCGTCAAGAACGGTGGAATTGCCTTGTGTTGGGGGTACGAGGTCTACCGCAACAACGGCGGCGCCACGGCCATGAATGGCTCACCGGAGCCTCGGAACGACCAAGACAGTTTAGCCTTTGTGTCGCTTCAGCTGCAGGGGCTTTACACGGAAGATCATGAATCATGATCCTTCAGGATTCGACCTGCAACAGGGACACGGTTCCTGCACCGCAGACCTGCACACTGACTGGCCTGAACTCCGGGGACACGTGACCTTGCTGAGAACGTAGCATGTGCGAAGCGTCCCTCAAGCCTACATTGCAGGTATGCCGTGCAGATGCTGGCCATCAACGACGTTGGGGAAGGATTCGCACGTTTCCACGCAGCGAATAATAGGCTCCTCGTGTCCAACTCATGCTGACGCAGCGCTGCCGAGATAGCGCTCTCGCGCAATATATTGTTTGGAAGCCCAGACAAGCTTTCGCACATCATGTGTGCTGAATGGCCCGATAATCTCTGTTGCAACTGAAGACACCCGCCTGCGCCTCTGTGGGGCGACGGCAACACCGTGTGCTTTCCTCAAGCTCTGCAGGCGCTAAGTAGTACTAGATGGCGAATACCGTGCGAGGAGCGCTCTCGACGGTTGCCACCCTCTTCGCTGCCGCGATCCCTGCGCAGATCACAGACCTCGTGCAGAGCGCCGAGAGCATTGAACGGCTCCGAGAAAGCACAGAGCATGCCTGATTCGAGCCTGTCCCAGGAACTCGGCGGGCGCACTCACGCCATCCCTCAGCTTCACCTGGACGGCCCCATCGGATAACGGGTCCGGCGCCCAAACTTCAACAAGTCTAAGAAGCCTTCCTGAACCGTCTCTTCTGTGGCAGGGCGTTCATCTACAACTACTTGGGTGAGATGAGGGACGTCGCTGCCGGCACGACACAGGCACAGTGTGCACAGCACGCAGAGCTCGGCACAGCTCAGCAAGCTTGACTTGATCCTCCTCTTCTAGGCCTGGGACGCCGGGGGCACCAGCGGCTCGCCCCAGACATCGACCACTTGGACACTCACGGGCTTGAACTTGGCAGCGCCCGCCCCTCGAGCACGGCAGCCGGCAGAGGCAGAGTTGAAGCGAAGATTGGCGACTTCAGGACGAAGCAGTTCCAGTTCCGCGTGCGGGCTGTCAACAAGATGGGCAGCGGCACCTGGCGCTGGCCCCACGGGAAGCGCAGAAGAGAAGAAGATCGAGAGAGAGTGAAAGGGAGAGCATCTTACTGGCTGCACGCTGCAGGTCCAGTTGGTCGTCGCTCACGGACCCTCCACGTGGCTACTGCTTGAATGCCCCCAACACGCCTGCGAACTTCGGAAGGTCGATGCACGCATGGGAGGCTCAGCTGAAAGTCTTAGAGCTCGCGTTCGAACGCGAGGCATTCGGGTGTCACGGCCGTCAGTGGTGAGATCTCCGTCAGCCTCGGCCTTGGGGGCTTTCGCCGGGCATAGCTTTGAGATGACCCAGACCCCGTCTTTTCCCAAATAGTTCAATTTTACTGTGTTGCTATATCAACTCTCTTGACTGAGAGGCTTTCTGCAGAGATTGCGAGGGGTCCCTCGAAGGTTGCAAATCGGTCTCGGAGGTGGGTGGAGATGTCGCTCTTAGTCTTGTTCGACTCCTGCATCAGAGAACATCAGTACATCAGAAAAGTGTCATCGCGGAAAATTGCTGGCCCTCTATTTCAATATGTCTACAATCTCTCAGTAGGTCATTCACTCCACGTCCCCCCTGCGTTGAGGCTGGGATCCTTTGCTGACGGATGCTGAAGCTGGAGGAGACAATGTGGACAACATCATCTACGAGGCAAAGCGGAGCCACCGCTTCGGGTTTGGCTTGCAAGTGGCAGGATTGTGAGCTCGCCATATCGTAGTGTTACGTGCATTTTAACAAGTGTCGGATGATCGTTGACGTGTTGGGCAAGAGTTTCGCTAGGCGAAAGCCGACTGCACGGCAGAAGCTGTCGACGCTGCGAGGTTTATGCAGGAACCTCAACTGGAAGCATGGCGAAGCAGACGACAGTGAACGACTACGACACGAACTTTACTCTGGCTTCGGCCTCAATGGCTCAGCAGGAAGATCTTGTCGCTTGACATCCCCTGCTTCGTAGTTGGCTATTTTCTCCGAGGCAGTGTCGGCAGGCACCACTTACTACTTCCAAGTTCGTGCCGTGCAGCTGTCATGTTTTGCACTCCACCCTCAATGGTGAAAGCACGTGATGTTGACGGCAGTGGTCAGCGGTGAGAACTTGTCTTCGTCACACCTAGAAGCCCAAGAAGCTGCAACTAAGTCCGCCGAGTGCCAGGTTAACGTGGCTGGCGTCGGCTCTTCGTGGGCCGGGCCGATCGAGCTGGTCAGCGCGGAGGAGCCCGAAGGGAATTTGGATCTCCGATGCTACAGCCCGGAATACTGTTTTCTCCGCCGACATCCTTTGCACAGGTTCCTGGCGAGCCGACGCTGCTCTCTTGCACCAGCACGGTGTCGGAACAGGCGAGAGAGCTCAGCAAGCAGACACCTTGCACTCCACATGCTTCAGTCTCGAAGAGCTTTAATTCATTGTGCATGCATAATATCGTGTCTACTGTCAACTAATAAGTCCAATCAGTTGAACATGCATATGATGCATATGAGTACAGACAGATTAGTAGTTGAGTTAGGTTAGGTCAGATCAGATTAGATCAGCAGTTGCCAGAAGGGTCCGGTGGCCTAGTGCTTCCTGCTTGAGGCACCGACAAGCCGTATTGTGAAATTGAGGAGGCATGTGTGATGGAGCTTTGAAAGAGCTTTTGTTGCAGTTGCTGATCAAATCAAAGGGTTACTTACGTTTTGGCGGGCTCATACATAAGCGTCAGCAGCTGGCGATATCACGAACTCATCAACAAGATCAGCAACGTACGCCCCCGAACTATCGCAGTTCTAAGGCAAAGAGCCCGATGTCCCGAGAAGTGTGTGTGTGTGTTTTGTTTGTTTGTTTGTGTGTGTGCTTGTCCGCGGAAGCAAGATGCTAATGTATGATGCGGTTCAGAAGATGCAGCGTTCAAGCGTCGGAACTGTTCGTGATCCAATCCCAAGCAAGAGACGGCAAGCGGACAGTGAGATTGCGACTGCGGTGCCGCAGCATACCGCCAAAACCCCTTTGGTGTGCAGCCAAAATCTCCCCCCTGGCAGCTGTGTGGCATGGACCTTTCTGAGCTGCAAGGGCCAGATTAGGTCAGTCAGATCCTACTGACAGACAGCTAGGTACATGAACACGAATAATGTCCATGTAGATGAATATTTCTATCTGCAGTTGAAAGTGTGTCCATCACGATCGCCCCAGGTCGACATCTCCTGGACGCCCAACGCATTCAACGGCAACTCCATGGTCACTCATTACATCGTCAGCGCGGGCCCTGGAGCCAAAGAAGCCCAGGCGCGAAGAAGCATTACAAGGCGAAGATCGGCAATCATGATCAACAGCTAGAGCCCGGCTAAACCAGGGTGGAGATTTTAGGGTGGAGATAAGATAATATGGCTCCGAGGCGAAGACAACTTCACCAACTCCACAGAGCAGATGGCGCAGGTCTTCAGTGCACTGCAGCAGTGCTCTCGAATCCGGCGTGCTGCGCTGACGTGGGCAGGTCAGCAACACCATTACCACATACAGCTTCACGGGTCAAGACCCAAGCAAGTGCCTCAGCTGGCTCCTGCCCTCTGGGTGCTGCAGAATTGCATTGGCCTCCTGCAGGTGGCCCTATTCACTATGGCGTCCGATCGGTCAATTCCGTCGGCGAAAGCCCGCTGCCGAGTCAGAGTGTATTTCATGCAAATCGAAGAAACGTCCCTTCATCACCGCGTTGCCGTCTGCTTTTTCCAAGGCTCCGAAGCGATGTGTACTGTGACACCCATCGCATAGAGAGACCCGGCCGATGTCACAATGTACAGATGACCAGTCACAGGCTGCCCTACTTCAGACCCTTCTAGTTGAGTCTCTACAGGAGAATTAATTATGCAGGTCACAGGAAGTGGGGCAGAGCCGCAGATGATTTGCATTTTGGACCCTGAAAGGGTTCCTGGCAGCGGCCTACAAGTGGCCTCTTGCCCGTTAACATACCAAGCCGGCTTGTTGAGCAAGCCGCCAGCACGTCGCGGTGTAACCAGAGCCGGGGAATTTCATCGGCAAGGAAGGAGCAGCCTGGAAGCAAATCCCGCAACGGTTCCTCCGCCGTCGTGAGCGCACAAGTGTGGGCCGCACAACTCCTCGCGCTCTCATGCGTGGCCCGCTTCCATTTTCATATTCCGTAAGCAGAGTGGCGGGAAGGATTTTCTTCAGTGCTGTAGCCAGCCTCTAAGCCGAACGGTAATTAAGTGGTAGCTATTCAGAGACCGAAATATTAAATACCAAGCCTTTGATCGTGGCACATGGACACTCTCAGCTGCGCTCACTGCCGCCAAAGCGCGTGGCAGAAGCCTGACGAGGGTGTGCTTTCTTGCCACAACATCTCAAAGAACAGAAGCAAAGTAGCACGAAGCCGCGAGGGCATGGTCTCCTGACAGGTACCCACCTGGAAAAATGGCCGCCTTGCCTTGGAGTAGGTCGCTGACCTCATGCCACAACACGCATTCAACAGAGCCTTTCTCAGTGAATTGCTCTGGTTCTGCCATGGCTTGCTTGACACACTGACATTCGGCTGTCGACGTTTCCAGGAGGTCGGCATCTCGTGGCGCTGTTCTGCCGTTACAGAGGTTGTTCTTTCAAGGGTGGCAAGCTGTGAGCCAGCCATTCGAAGCAGTCCTACACAGCTCAGTACGCAGAGTGGCATTTGTTCAACGTCTCTTTCTGTCTTCAGGTGTGCATAGTAGTAGAAGCAGCAGCAGTACCAGTGATTCGTGATTGCCTGACCTTCGTCTGCCTGCTCAACGAATATCAGGATTGGAACTGAAGCGTTTTCGGCTTCAGGTTGGCTTTTTGCATGGATCTCCGAAGGCTAGGAATGACGGGGCCTCAAGCAGCCATGCGTCGTGGGCGTGGATTGCTGACGACGCCACGCGGAAAACAGCGCCTTGAATGAAGCATGCTGGACGGCCGCAACAGGCCCCTGCCCGGAAAATGTAAGGTGCCTCGAGCAGTGTGCCTCCGTTCGCTGATCTCGGCCATTCTAAGGCGTCTCGTATGGAGGCCGAAAGGTGGCACATGCGGAGAGCAGCTTCCGTGCCTTGGTGCAAGCATGCTGGGTGGATGCAGTGTGCATCTGTTCGCTGAACGCGGCCATTCTGAGGAATCTACTTGGCAAAGCCGCGCAGGGCAACGGGACCGTGACCGATGCACAGGCAACTTCATGTGTTGTGGTCAAGCCATGGGACTAATTTCAGAGGCGCTTGAGCCTGAATTTGCCTTGTGGCTGTCACACGTCTGACATTCTGTCCAACCCCCCGCAGTTCCCACTGGAGTGGATTGGCATGACCAAGAGGTGTGGAAAAATAGTTTGCAGTTGGCTCAAGTTTCTAGAACGCAAGGGCAGCGTGGGTAGCGGGTGCCATGGCTTCCCTCGGGCTCGTAGAGCGTGCAGCCGGTCTTATGCAGTGCCGTCCTCAGGTTTGCATCGAGTCCGTTCGTTTGGACGCATCCTCAAGCTTTCAACGTGTGTCCTGAGGAAATTGACCAAGTTTCGGACATTGGACTGTGACACGGTGAAGGAAGGTGACCAAATCCGAGTCACAATGCACATCCCTTGGAAAACTGGAAAAGTGAGCTACGTCGGCAAATGGTGCCAAACAATGGCAGAGGCAAAGGAGAGTGCAGCAGAAGCATTGTATTCACATCCGGACACTGCGGACCGACTCGCAAAGCTCCCCGTCGCAGATCCAAGCAAGCGACCTAGGGGCAGGAGCCATGCTTCAGAAGGCTCAAGGCCAACAAAAGCACCACGCTGCTCATGAAAGATCCGGTGATGAATCAATGAATGATTCTGGCACAGCAAGCTGTTTCGTTACAAGCCATACGCAAGCAGCTTCGGCATTTGTTGTAGTGTATTTGTTGTAGTGTGAGACTTGTTGAGTTTGCGTCTCACGTTGAATTCGCTGGGCGCTTTGCATGCGCAATAGCCGGTAGCAAAGCGGTATCATGCACGGGTCCTGGCGCTTGTTCGGAAAACTGTGCACTGCTTTTTGCGTGTTGCACCTGCTGCGAGTTTAGCCGCATAGGTCATTAGCATTCCAGCAGCAAGCACACTCAGTTTCAGCTTGCAAGTGAGTTCGGCAGACCATTGCAGGCACTCCTATGCGTGTGGAGAGGCGAGCGACGCGTTGGTGCTTGCAAAGCAAGTCCATCAACGCCTACGCATATCGCCATTTATTCTACTTTCTAGACTCTGGAACACGACGATTCTTTCCACATGTTAGTGTGTCTGTGCTTGCTGATGCGTGTGCAAGTGTGTTGCCGTCGTTGCTCGTGGTCAATATATATTGCTGTAAGCCAATGAACGACACCGAAGCTCAATAGATTCTGTGATTCAGGCCAGCTTGCAAGGCCAAGCGGTTCCTTGGCCTTTATGTTTTTGGCGCTCTCTGCTTCGGAAGGTGCTGCTTCCGCTTACAACCTTACTTTTGTTTGCATAGAGTGTACAAGATCAGATGAACTCCCGAAGCTGCACAAGCTGAATATAGAGTAATTCTCGGTGCGGCGGGATTGAAGATCCAAGTCGTTAGGACAAGATTGACAGCTCGGGCCGTGGTAGTGCTGGGGCCGGTGATGACGTGAAGAAGGGGGCCGAAGCCGAGATCATGAAGAAGGCAAGGCCCGAAACTGGCAGAGGATCTCCGTTGATCGAGAGGGTTTGGGGTTCGAGATGGCTCGAGCCAATATCATATGTTAGGCCAACGAGAAACTTGCATGCAAGTAGCTTTATGTCAGACTTCTTTGGGCTTGGTCTTCCGGTGTGAGATATGTTGTCAGAAGCCTGTCGATGCTGTATCTGTTCGTGTGTTGCCGTTGGGGAACAAAGCTGCAAGCTCGGAAGATACACCCGTTTTGCAGTTGAAAGAATGTTGAAGCTTTGAGCTGAGCGAGCTTCGGGGATGGAAAACTCAAGCACGGTTGACGTACGAGCCAAATCAGAATGCCACTCGCAGCATGGTTTGCCTTACTCGTCAGATAGTGAGCGTCGTGTGGTATGCTAGAGCAAGGCCGCACAACCGCACATGCTGGTCAGGTTGCTACCAGGTTGCAGGACTTTGAGTCGCTGATCACGAGCCAGCATCTGGACCGGTTAGAAGTGAGAGGGTCTTGTGCTCATGGTTGCAAATGCCCCGGCATCAGTTGCTAAGAGTTTATCGGTTTAGGCATTCTGGTCAGAAATTCGCGTGCCCTTTTCAGGCATTTGACGGGTTAGAAAGTGGCAATACGTGTTACTACGATAAACAAGCTCGGCGACAGCCTCAGAGTGAAACATCATTGCCTGGCGTTTTGTACAGATGCCTTTGTTGCTGTTGGCGTAGTGTCGCATCGACGAGTACCAACAGAGCTTCTCAGTTGCTCAGTGGCATGGGAGGTTGTCGACATTTGCCACGGACTTCGAGAAGAAGCTCTTCCACGTCTATCGCTCGATCGGGGCCATGAAGCCGATTGACGGCGCAGGCGCCGGAGACACCGGCCTCGACACGATGGCCGAGGCGCAGAGTTCTTCCGGGGGAGGGGGCTTTCAGGGACCCGGAAAATTCGAGAGAACGCTTGGGTTGCAAGCATTGTGAGGATGTGGACCAGCTGAAGTTCGACGTTGGGGAGCTGCAGAATTTGCTGACGAACAGCAAGGGTGAGGTAAGCCAAACCAACCGCATTGTGCTGGCCTGCGAACGAAACATGGAAGACTTCAAGGCAGCTGGAGCCCCAGAGGAGTTGTTGTGTTGTGTCCTGGCAATGGCTATTGAACAAGCTGAGGCGATGGACGCTGTGAATGTGGACTTGGCCGAGATGCGCGCCCGTGTAGATGCGACCCACTCCATCACCACCTGCCGACAGCGTGTGGAAGCAACCATGACAGCAGAGATCTCGACTATGCACCTCGACAGCTGCGACATCCAAGAAGCTCTCAAGAATCATGACTCCTGGATGGAGGGCATGTCCAACACTCTCCAACAGATGCAAGAGAAGGAGGAGAATTGGAGTGAGGATATGATCAACCTCAAGAATGCCCCACGCTCAGAAGCATTCCATCCGTGGCATGGGAGATGGAGAGATCTTGCGATAAGGGCCATGACAGATCTTACGGAAACTCAGGAGCTCACTGCCAAGCTCGACACCAAGGTGGACAACGTTGCCTGGAAGGAGGCATTTCTGGTTCTCAAGCCCCATGCCTTCTTGCTTCCTTGATTCCGCTCAATCTGCGGAATTGAAGTTTCGTTTAGGACTACTAGCGTGTGGTTTGTGAGCATCCGGGTAGGCGACCGACGAGCTCGATGCGGCTGTCAAGACTATTTACGGTTTGGTGTCCGCTCTTCGACTGGATGCTGATGCAAACCGCCGCAAGGCGACCTGTCCCACCTTTACTTGACTTGAGATTGGGAAATCGGGCACAACAAGCTTACCTTCTTCATGTGGTGTGGTTGAATGATTCCGGAATAGAAGCCGGCTGAGATGAAAGCCAGGGGGACGAAACTCTGGCCAACGTCCGGCATGACATCACAGCTGTCGAGACGAATCTTGAGGACGCCCATGCACCGTTTGACGCATCCAAGTACAGACTGCGTTTTTGCAGGAATCCAAGTCCAAGCTAGCGATGGACACTGACCATGTTCCTTGGCTGCCATCAAGTGCTTTTGCAGGGGCAGAAAACAGAAGACAAAAGCATTTACGTTCGAAACAGATCCAGTTGAACACCAGGCTATCAATGCTCTGAATGGCCGTATCGACTTCACGAACAAGGATCTCGCCGCAACCCAGGCCTCGTGCCACTGACAGAGGTGCTGCAGCCGTGTTAGTTACTGCACGGCGCAGTTTGCGCAGGATAGCCTCCACACAACCCAGAAGTCCCTCAGCGATTGCTTCCACGAGGTCCCCGTATTCCTGAGCTGCATTGAGTGCCGTGATCTCGCCTACACCTTGTTTTTGCAAGCCGAGATTGTAGAAGTCTTTCAGGTGGCCGTTGTCCGCAGCGACGTGGAGCGGAACGTGGCAGACATCGAGGCCGACCTGGGCCAACGTCCCCGGGATCCAAAGCCTCTGTGACAGCAGGAGCTGGCCTTAACTCGGGAGCCGCTGGTTCGCCACGCGGTGTCACCAGAGCTCCTCGCAGCTGTCCCAGATGATTGAGCGAGCTCCATGAGCCCTAAACCCTGAAGACACGCTGACATGCGGTTTCAGCCTAGGCGAAGGCGACTGGTTCTGCGCTGCAGCTGCAGGCCTTCAAGGGTTGGAGCCTGGCGAGTCCCATACATTAAAACAAACTCTCCAAAGTTCAGGGCTTAACTCCCAAAGGAGATGTTCTGGGACAGGCATTAAAGTTTAAACCCTAAAAGAAGATGTTGGGCCGGGTTGGGTGGCAAGCCCTAAACCTTAAGCCCTATAAACCCTAAAAGGATATGTCGGGTGCTAAGCTCTAAGCCCTAAATTTAAATGAGATGTTGGCTGTTCTGGGTCCTCTAAGCGACGCAGTCCCGTGCAGTATACTAGTACCAGACCTCCCCCCAAAAAGCCGAACTAAACAGTCCTGTGGTGGGAAGAGAGGGGAACAGCATATACTGCTGGTGGCTGTTGTTAAACGGAAGTTTACTATTATCAGCGTTCACAAACTCACAGTCGTTGGTAAGTCTCGGGTTTAGGGCTGTTTTATGTGTGACTCGGCCGGCCAACTTGAGCAACTTGGACTGCCTTCCGGGGACAGGTCTATATTCCATGGGCTTCTTTCACGTGTTCGTATACATCCTGCACTCTTGTGGTTCTGCACCCACGTCAGTATGCAATATAAACAGGAGGATGATGAGGAACAAAGGAAGCAGATTTTCAAACCAGTAGGACGAGCGAGCACTGGACAGAAGAGGTCGGCTAAGAACTTGTTGACTCTTTGCTGAACAGATCTGCATTCATTAGCTTCTGGGGCCATCCGAAGCCCTCCCAACAGGCTGCTTGAACACAAATGCCTTGGTATTCCTTCTCATTCGTTTCACAAGAGCCCCCGCGAAACTTCCTATCGTGACTACTGCCATTGCGGTGGACATCCAGGGATGTTTCAAGCATTCTACTCACTGCCGCGTACCCTACTGTATCAGATCCTATCATTTAGGTTGCCCTTATCGGTACAAGAGAATGTAGGCCTGGATTTTGGAAGGTGTGTGTGTGTGTGTGTGGACCTCTGTTACCAAGAGGAACCGTTTTTGAAACACGTTGGACAGTTGTGCTGAATTGCTGAAAATAGCAGGGGGGTACGGCTCTCTGATGCTACCGTACCCAACGAAGCTATGCATCAGAGAGGGAAGCCAAGCCTGATCAGCTTGGTGTACCTGCAAGTGTTTCTGCAAGTGTCTCTGCAAGTGATATGGCTCGGGGCTAAGCCTAGAACCCCAATGGAATCGAATGTACAGGTTTGGAGGAGTTTGCCTTGTACAGTCAATAAGTCAGAGATCAAGCGAAGATGAGCCTTGAGGCCAGATAGGTACCGGACCCCCTGGAAGCTTCATGCTTTCGAGATACATCAAGCTGTGCTTGATAACCAGATTGATTAGTGGCTGCGCGATGGATGTCTAAGTGTGTCCCAGGTACAGGGATACATTGTTTTGGGCCCGTCGTGGTCCTCACAGGTCCGACTGAATTTGCTGCCCCGATGGTGCCGACATCTGATTACTTCAGTCGTGATGTTTTCTCCGCTCCTGACTTAATGTCAGGTTTGATGCCAGGTTTCATTGCAGGTCCTGAATTTTTGCAAATCCGATGGAACCAACGGCTTTTCTATCCGCAGACCACGATTTCAGCTCCGAGACACAAGCCTTTAGGAATCTCTTCCGATCATGTCGTGGGCCCGTGAACAAGATTGGGCCAAGTCGTCCTGGGCTAGTTCGTCTTGGGAGAAGAAAGCATCGTCGGGTTGGAACAACCGTGACTGGCAAAAATCTCCTCAACATTCTGTTCCCAGCACCAATGTTGCCATCCCATCGTCTTTTACCAGTGACTGGGAGTGTTACGACAAGAATGCTATTTCTGGCAAGAAGTTCTTTCGTAACATCCAATCCACGCCCTGGTCTACGAAAGCTGGACTGGCTGGAAAAGATGTGGCCGATCTTCGTGTCTCAGACCTGACGAGAAAAGGTCTTGATGACTTCAGTCTCCGATGTTTGTCCAATGGAGAATTTCAGAGCCTAGTGTTCGTGAGGTCGATTTCAGAAGCAGTGTTTGTGACTAACCTGCTTCGTCACATCCGGCAAGACCGCATCGATCTTGATGCCGTGGCAGCAAATATGCATGGCCCAGCTCCGCCTGACAAGCACAGGGAGTCTGCGAGATTTATGCAACCATTGCTTGGCGAAGTTGTTTCAACAATCAAAGCCAATTCGCCCCCTCCGGCGGATTCAAACCAGCCATCGCCTGAGAGTGAACAGCTTGCTCGTGCGAAGCGAAAGTTGAAGGAAGCTGGGATTGCTCTTACTCCGGAGAAGAAGCAGGCCAAAACTGGCCCACGTCCCACCACTTCACCCTCACCTTCAGCTGAACAGATTTTGAAAGCGGAACTCCAGAATCCGCCGAACTCTGTTCCGAGTTCCAGCTCTCCTGATGTTGTTGAGAAATGGCTCAAGAAGCATCAGAGCCAGTTTCGTGGTCAAGCTGCAGCTTTTAAGAAACATGTGGCTGATGTTTGCTCTGTGCTGAAAGACTCAGCCACTGATCGGCAAAGCCTGGCAGATCTTGCTATCAAGTACGGCTTGAAGAAAAGCCATGCAAGCAAGATGTCATTCACCAATTTGTCTTCGTTCATTGGTGCATGTCAGTTTGAATCAGCTTGACTAGCTACCCAAGCAAAAACGGTGCAACACCAGCCGATTCAGGTCCGTAAGAGGCTTGCTTCAGCAGTGTGCACGCTTGGTACAGCAGCAGCCTTCATGTTGGAGTTTGGCGATGGAATACCCAAGGCTCCGCTGATTTGGGTGCATACACTGATGTCGTTGGTGTTGTTGTTTTACCTCAATGCACCTAGCCAGGATGATTCACACAGATTCAAGATTGTTCGGAGATTGCAGCAGTTCGGAGTGGATCCAGATACTCTGCACTATTCTCTGTTTGAGAAGCCGAACACTGTATATTGCATTTTTCAAGTTGATTTCGACATGTGTCGATTTCGTTCGGGCTACCGTCAGCCCTCATCACTTCTGTATGTGGGAAGCACTGCTGTCGGTGCAGCCAAGCGGCATTTGAACCGCATGGCAGTCTACAGAAGACTTCAAAGAACCGAATTTGTGGATGCAGAATTGTCCCTGAGATATTGGGCATCCCAACATAACCTTTTCCAGTTTGTGCTTGTTCCGCTGGACTTTTGTGACAGCTACCAGCGAGCTTGGACTGTTGAGCACGAACTCATTGCTCAATGGCAGGCACCTTTGAATTATCCCAGAGCAATGTCTCTCATTAAGAAGACCGCTCTTGGTTTCCGGATTTCGTCCAAACGCAGAGGGTCATTGTATGGCACCTTTGGCCTCCGACTTTGGCGCTAACTGCGAAAGCGCATGTTTGGTCGTAGTTCGAAATTCTTCATTCATGACTCTCGGGAGTCAGCCTGGGGGCTTCTGTTCAAGCTTGGATCGAGAACCCGAGCATCCTTTGAAACAGCGAAGCTGCTCCGATCCAATAAGACGGCTGACGAGGAAGTGTATGCCCTCATCAAGCTCAGTCGCAATATTGAAAACCCTCATCGCAACAGGGTGCAAGGAATACTCAAAGGTGTAGTCAAGTTTCGCAAGAAGATGCACTGGCCACGGACTTCCCGACCTTTGGGAGTCCTGCCAACTGCGTCTCCTTCGTTTTCCAAGGAGTGCGAGAAGTGGTTAAAAGACCTCATCCTCCGGTACAAGTATCTTTTTCCATCTTTTCTTGTTCCAAAGAACAGCCTACGTGAAGTTCCGCACCAGAGTATCAAGAAATTTCTCCACAACTTCCGATCTTGGGAAGAAACGATGTGGGAGCACGACTTTGATTTGGAGTCGGTGCACTGTCCGTGTGATCAGTTTGCAGGAAAACTTCCTGCTCATTGCTTTGTGTCTGGCCACGTAGCCACAGGTTTGGAGAACCTGACCAAGCTACTACCAGGCTGTTCGAGCATCTTATCGGCCAGTGCCGCGAGCACCTTGTTCCCAGGCCGCAATCACTGGATGGCCAAGTCCAGAGCTCTGTTTGATCAGTGGCTCAAGAGGCACAAGCTACCAGCGACGTTGCATCCAATTTTTCAATCCTTTTGCGATCACCAGTGGCAGCAACACGTTGCAGCCCTGGAACAATCAGACAGACTACACTGGGCTTTGGTACAGAAGGTGAAGTCTGCCTTGCACTCGGATTTTGTTCTGTACAACGAAGATCATCATCCGAATCATGTCGTGTGCTATTGTCCTCGCTTTTTCCTTCGAGGAGTCAGCACCACATGGAACGATCCCTCTGTGTTTTGTACTCTTGATGGTACCCCTGAAGAATGGAGACAGCGCATTTTGAAGCGCGTTCCTCGAGATCTGTCCAGAAGATACGCCTGGGCTTTCAAAGAAGCAGCTCCGCTGCCCCAGGGCACTGTGTTCCTGAAACGGAAGAAACAGTTTGCCAAGGGACGGACTATCATTTCGTACTCCAATTCGTTGTGCAGCAAGCTGTTGGAGCTGACTTCCATTGCGTTAACCTTGATGGTCAAGACGCTGTTTGCTGACAGCCCAGGCATGCAGAGCATGCCACAGCTCTGGAAGTCTCTTCATGCTTATTGGGCGAAGCCCAGCCAAGAGGAAAACGTCGAATGGAACGACGATCTCGTGGGATTTTTCAACGCAGTTCCCCGAAAAGACATCATGCACGCAGTGCATTTGATTGTCCAGGAATACTGCCAAACTTCTGGCTGTTCGATCCTTTCGATCGATATGTTGTCAAAAAACGGGACACCCGGGCAAACCTCGGGGGAGAACGAAATCCAACTTGAAGAGGTGTTGGGTTTCTGATGTTCCGCGGATTGTGGATCTATCCTTCGTCACGGGCGTTTTTACAGCTGCTGGAAAGTGCAGGCAGCAAGTGGAGGGGACGTGTATAGGCAATCAAATATCTCCGATCCTCTCCGGACTCCCCGTACTCATGGCCGAGCGGCAGTTTTTGCAATCTTTGCCAACAGCCATCCAATCGTCTTTCTTGTTTCTCCGTTACGTCGATAACAGACTGATTCTGGGACCTCAGAAAATTCTACAATCGTCCCAACTCCGGAGATTCTGCGATCCCAACTTTTATGATGGGATTCAGTTGGAAACTGTGTCAGACCATCAATGGTTGGGCTTTACCATTTGTGCCAAGACTCGCTCAGCAACTTTTAATCTCCCGGAGCAACCGTGGCAGATCCGCTCGCCCAACAGTGCCGGATCGTGGCAGCTGGCAGCCTCGGGATACTTTTCTCGAGCATCTTTGATTCGCCAGTATTCCTGGCCCCCCGAGTCAAGACCGGGACAACTTCGCAGACTCAAGCAACTGTATGTACAGGCAGGTTTTCCTGTGAATGCGTTGCAATGAAGTCAACAAATAAGACATTCGATTGAGAGTTTCGCTGCAAAGCGGGACTCATTTACCGTACTATGTCAAACTCAGTACTGTCAACAATACAGTACCATTGACCTTTCACTGGGCTGAGCCGTATTCGGACGAAAACCGTCCTCGTTTGGAGTCCAGACCCTAGGTCGTTTCGCCTTAGTGGCTTACTGTGTGTGTGGACCTTTGTTACCAAGAGGAACCGTTTTTGAAACACGTTGGACAGTTGTGCTGAATTGCTGAAAATAGCAGGGGGGTACGGCTCTCTGATGCTACCGTACCCAACGAAGCTATGCATCAGAGAGGGAAGCCAAGCCTGATCAGCTTGGTGTACCTGCAAGTGTTTCTGCAAGTGTCTCTGCAAGTGATATGGCTCGGGGCTAAGCCTAGAACCCCAATGGAATCGAATGTACAGGTTTGGAGGAGTTTGCCTTGTACAGTCAATAAGTCAGAGATCAAGCGAAGATGAGCCTTGAGGCCAGATAGGTACCGGACCCCCTGGAAGCTTCATGCTTTCGAGATACATCAAGCTGTGCTTGATAACCAGATTGATTAGTGGCTGCGCGATGGATGTCTAAGTGTGTGTCAGAGACAGAGCGAAATTCGTCTTGCCAGGGAAGATAAACTCTGTACAAGCTTTCCTGCAGGGTGCATCTAAAGAAAACATATCAACTCTCATATGCGCTGCCTGAGTGAAGAGTACGAAGTGTAGTCTTGTTTTCGTTGATGTTATAGACAAGCACCGCCTACAGCCTCTGAACAAGCAGTGTCCTCCCCCTCGTAGAGCTTTGAAAGGAGATCTTGGGCCGGGTTGAGTGGCAAGCCCTAAACCTTCAACCCTAAAAGGACATGTTGGGCCGGGCGGGCACTGGTTGGGTGCAGGCGCTCCAGCTGGATTTCCTCCTGTTCCGCGTCGTGCACTCAGACACTCCCTGTGCCGACCGTTTCACGTTTTCGGCTCCGGAACGACTGAGTTGGCGACCGTGGAGGACCACCTTGCAGCGAAGGAGTCCACATCTCAGCCAAAGCCTCAAAAGCTTAGGCATTGAATGCACCCTGCAATTTCTATCGTGACATTCGGGTCAGTGGGATTTTGATCCACTCAGGGTTTGAGCTATGGAGAAACCGGGCCCAGCCTGGGCTGCGACAGATTCTGCCAATCTTGCTAGTCTGAAGCACGACATGCAATCTTGAGCGTCAGGGCTTGACCACGGAAGCTTGAAAGCCTGAGGCCCGCGGCAAGCGCAGATTCGCCCAAGCGGTTGGAGCGAACGAGCCAAGCCTGGACCGACCTGGCTTCGGATTTCATACATGTCAGCTTCGCTGAGGGTGATCCAAAAGCATAAGAAACATGGCCTTAGCCGCTCACTGCTCGGATCTCTGGTGCAGGATGGCCACTGGCGCGGACCAGCTCAGCGTTCCCCACCGCTCATTTGTGTATGTGAGGCGCTCAGTCATTCTCAAGGTTGCTTGGTTGAAATTCCTGGAGCGCCTCTGTGGCCAATCCACAAGCAACTTTCAACACACATATGCGACTTTGGGACAATGGCAGAAAACAGTGCAACTGAGCCCCAAGAGCAGCAACTTAGCTGAAGTGGGAAGTCATGCCGGAGACCCACGCGATCTTCTAATCCACGACGACGCATGCACGGGCAATCAGCAGGTTAAGCGTCAACCTAAACTAAACAACTCAACGACGAGTCTCATCTACCCCAAAAGGCAAACAGGATACATCAAAGTCCTCCACCCTCGAGACCGACACATCAACCCTGCAAGCCCAAAATCGACACAGGTGCAGGAGGCAACATCCTGCATGTTCTCGAGCTACTAGTTTGAAAATTACATAGCCACCAACAACATTCACAATCGCAGAAATTGTTAGAAAATCGCGCAACGTGGGCGTAAAATCTCGTAGGTTTGAATTCGGTCAAAGTTTGATTGGTTTCGGTGCTTTGTGAAGGCTGCCCATCGACGATGTTCATTTTTTATACCCAGCTTGAACTCCGAAGCATGGTCGAGCCGCTCTCCATTCCTCGCTCCGTGCTGGTGCCGGCTTGAAGTTCGCACTTTAAACGCACCAATCTGGGACCAATATTGAGCTACCGGACTGTTGGTAGCATGTGCAAAAGATGCTGACGTCAAATCGGGGATTGATTGCTTTACCGGGTGGGGGTGTGGAAGCGGCAGCAATCAATTGAATGTACGGGCTGCAGCCATGAAATGGAGCTTGCTCTAGGAGGGCTCAATATGCTCCGCAACTTTGACGCGAATATATGTGACTGTGCACGTGCTACGCAGTGCGATGTTTTCGCTGTCGTTGTTGTGTGAACCTGCTCTGATAAAACAGCACAATAAGTTGCTCCCCGGTTTGAGCCTGAACAGCAACGAACTCTGAGTTCTGCGAGCTCAAAGCAGACTTGAAGGACGGGAAGCCCAATCTCGTGATGTAGTGTACTCCCTGCCTTATACGAGTTCCGGCAAAGGTTCGGAATATACATATGAGCTTATGGCATAAATCTTTTGGCCCAGTCGCGGATTCACTAGTTTACTCAAGAGCACCTGGCCTGGTTCCAATACTATAATGATGTCTGCCTTTCCATTGCCCCATGCATGACTCTGTGCTCCCACATCCTTGCTTCGATTTGTCTTTGCTGCTGGGATACATCATTATGAGCATCTCGACTCAAAGATGTCGATAAGTTCAGTCCTCCCAACGCTGGGCCCCGAGGACCCTGAAGCAAGCCTACAGCTTTGCACATAGAAATCATCCGCAGTTTAGCCGCGCCTGTGCTTTTGGTCCTCAGATCCCAAAGCCAGAACTTGCCAACAGCCCGAAAACTCGGTGGCGGTTGTTCCTGCAACCTGGTCCTGCGAACGTCCCTACAGGAAACAACTAACCCACAGAGGGCGCTGGATTCAGCCGAAAGTTCTCGAAAGTCCTCTGGCCGCAGCCCTTTGTTCAAAAACCCAATGAGGTGAAGACAGCGACTGCGAGCGACAATGGGTGGATTCATGCGGAGTTGGCCGACGACGAGGCCGCTAGCAGGACTGTCACTTGCCGACTGTGTTGGAAGGCACGGAGAAGATTGCACCTTAAACCATGAACCCGAAACCTTAAACCCCACTATACATTCAAGACGTCGCGCCAAACTTCGTGTTAAGATGCCTTTTCGAGCAGGCAACAGCGGGCTGGCTGCCACTAGGTGTCCTCGAGCAGCTTGAGGAGGGCCAGCGCTGGATGCGCCTCGGCGCTGTTGATTTCTCGCTTGATTTTGTTTCGGCATCGAGTGGTCGACAGGTGAAGCAATCATACCAGCACTGCCGTGAATGCTTGAGGATTGCAACATTGCATACATGATGATACTGTGCTTGGGGTTCAGCTTCGAGTCAGACGGTTTAATGCAGGAGTTATTTTTAATGCCTGTAGGACATATTGCGGGCGTAGCTAAGCCGTACTGAAATCAAGTACAGAAAAAAGAAAGCACATGAAAGCAACATATAACACACATGTGTATATATATATATATAGATATATAGATATATAGATATATAGATATATAGATATAGCGACGTATATATATATATATATATATATATATATATGTATGTATGTATGTATGTATGTATGTATGTATGTATGTTTACATATATACATATATACATATGTTTTGAGGGGCGGGAGATCAGCTTTCAGACCTGCCTGCCGAGTGTCCCGCAAACTCCCTGAAGACGTGCCCAGGAGAACCAAGGCCAAGTGGGAGGCAGGAGATTGTCAGGGCAGGGTCTGGGTGTTTAAAAATGGCGCGGCGCATTATGAAAGAGAGGCGGAAACCGTTCTAACATTCGCAAGTATCTGTGTGGATGACCTTGTGTTTCGGGCCTTTGCCTCTGGAGTTTTGTAGAGTGAGGCCTAGGGTTCTGCGTGCCAGGCTCGAGACGAGTCGCAGTGCAGCGCGGAGATTGGTGACTTCTGCTTGGTGTGGGTTGATTTACTCACCCAAGAGCCTTCTGAGTGCTGTTCTTGCTGCATCTGTTGCAAGAGCATCGGTAGAAGCAGCAATCGTAAAACAACAAGTCACGCCATGTGATGCCACCTTATGGCTGGTGGGCTTTTAGGGAAGGGAGAGGAGGGGTAAGCGGGCGACTCAACGCAACATAATCTGGCCGAGGCTGGGTCTGGGCAGCTGTCCAGGACCACACGTCAGCCCAAATTCTTTGCACACACCTCTTTTCTGGAGGTTTTAGTTGATGATTTGGAGAAAGCGCGCCAAATCTGAAATTAGTACTTTGGGAAGCAGCCAGGATCGCGAGGGATGGCTACCCAGCTTCTGCCTGGTGGCTTTGCTGAACTTGGACCCCTGGGTTTGGGAAGTTCGAAGGATTTGAGGGTCGGGGCGGCTTGTATCAACTTGTGCTGACAGAGCACAGGCAACCCATGACACGTGAACAGACATCCTTGGCATTGGTGAGAACATCATCGTTACGCCTGATTCGGCAAATAGGACCGCAGCACAGAAAGAATTGCGCAGGCCTGGCCGGATCCATGATGCGCGATTGTGCTTGCCAGCGGTGTGCGTCGGCCTCAGGACTGCCCAAATTTCCTAACCCCAGGGCCACGATACGATGTACACACATGCACTGGCATGAAGTAGCTCTCGCTTGTATTGATTGGGTGCTGAGACTATGCCAGATGTTCCTTTTGCCCCATGTTGTCCGAGGCATGCTAAAGACATGCGAGTTTGTGTAATGCGTTGAAGTCTTCCGATCTTACTTGCAGGGTGGGGACCAGTGCTCCTAGACCAAGACCACGTGAAGTCGCAAGAACCCCACGAAGCAATTACAAGCAGTGCTCTCGAATCCGGCGTGCTGTGCTGCCGTGGGCAGGTCGGCTTAACCTACCCAGCTTGCTTGTTGAGCAAGCCGGAGGCACGGCGCGGTGTAACCGGAGCCAGGGAGTTTCATCTGAAGTTGGCACGGAAAGAGCAGCGTGGAATCATTCCCGGAACGGTTCTGCCGCCACTGTGAGTACACCAGTGTGGGCCACACAACTCCTCGCGCTCTCATGCGTGGCCCACTTCCATTTTCATATTCCGTAAGCAGAGTGGCGGGAAGGCTTTCTTCAGTGCTGTAGCCGCTAGCCAGCCTCCAAGCCGAACGTTTGCAAGTGGTAGCTATTCAGGGACCGAAATATTAAATACCAAGCCTTTGATCGTGGGCACATGGACACTCTCAGCTGCGCTCACTGCCGCCAAAGCTTGTGGCAGAAGCCTGACGAGGGTGTGCTTTCTTGCCACAACATCTCAAAGAAAAGAAGCAAAGTAGCACGAAGCCGCGACGGCACGGTCGCCTGACAGGTACCCACCTGGAAAAGGAGGTGTCAAAATGGCCGCCTTGCTTTGGAGTAGGTCGCTGACCTCATGCCACAACACGCATTCAACGCAGCCTTTTTTGAGTGGATTTCATTGGTTCTGCTATGGCTTGCTTGACACATCGACATTCGGCTGTCGACGCTTCGCGCGAGCAACTCCTAATGAACCATGATGGATGTGCAGCTGATGCTTCCGTGAACTGAAGCGTTTTCGGCTTTTCATGGACACCCTCAGCTGCTGTCACTGCCGCCAAAGAGCATGGCTGACGAGGCATTGCTTTGCCACAACATCGGAAAGAACAGTAGCAGAAACAAAGTAGCACGCAGCCGGGGAGGCACGGCGTCCTCCAGTCCAGTCCGCGGACAGTGTCCACCATCATGAGCATCAGTCAAACTGCCAATCACTCTTGTGCACGCTGGCGCGGTGTCGGTTCTGAAGCAGGTCCTAAATCCGCATCAAAATCAACATGTCAAAGTGCACCGTTAGTCACCGTTAGTCTATGGTAAAGAGGGATGTCTAGAACAATCCTCATGTTCGCACGTAAATTTGTATGATCGTGTGTTTGTGTATGTGCATAATGTAATGTGCGCTTATTTCACATGTGTTAATGCACATTCGCACATTCCACCAGTTTTGCAAGCCTTGAAAGCACGCATCATAAGCATTATCATTTTCTACGCAGTTGTCACGAAGTTCCCACACGCTGGGCTGGCTTTGTATTGTGGGGTGTTGTCAACGGGATGATGACACAACCATTTCTGCCATCAAAGTTGCCGCGTGACTGCTCCGGCCGAAGCTTCATGGGCCTGGAAAATTTGCTTCAGTTGTAGTAACATTCGCACAACCCATCAATCAGGCGCGGTCGACATTAGACGATCAAGGTTGCCTTAAAGGTATTTCTTTCAACTCTTCACAGCATGTTCACGCACCCGGAAACAGATGCAACTCCCGAGCCCTGAGCTTTGCCATTTACAAGAAGTTGATTCCTCTTTGGCTTGTAGGGCGTCAATCCAAGCCTTTGAGACCGATCCCGGAACTCCAAACCCAAAGCCCTGCCGTATCCCCATCTCCATGCAGTACCACTTAGCAGTAACTTTCCCACCGCCATGGCCAGTGGATCCAAGCAGGGCAACGATGGCAGAGAAGGTGCCAACCTTTGTTAACCAGGTCTTTGGCACAGGTTGTCCACGGATCGACACATAGTCCGTGTTTGTAGCATTTGCAGACGTTTCTCGGGCACTCAGCCGTGAATCCCCAAGCGTTCAGTTCCTAAACCATCCTTTGTTAGCATCGACCCAGGCCCCTGCTTGGAAGCATTTGCTGACGTTTCTTGCGCACCCAGCCGAAACCCAAAACCTTGAGCTCTGAAGCCATGTTAAGCCGTGGAACCCAAAGAAACGCCCTAGCCTCGAGCTTTCGAAGTGGACCCTGAACCCAAAACTGACTTACAGCATCAAAAGCAACCCCAGGCTTGGACCCAAAACGGCGTCGGTGCCTCCTCGAAGATCCCGATGTGCAGGCATGGGAATCGTCGGTGGTGTGTTCGTTTTCTTTCGGTTTCAGAAATTGACGATTGTGGTTTTCCATGTTTCGGGAAGTTTCTATGTGGCAGGCTTTGCTGCGGGAGGAAGGCCAGAAGCGCGATGCTCTGCCACCTCTCCTCCAGGACTATACATGACGTGACGCTTGCCATGTGGGGTTGCCTTTCAGCCAGCAACAGCACTTTTTGTGTCAGTCTGGTTGATGTCCAAGAGGGGCTGAAACGATTGCAGGGTGCAGCGAAGAAATCCAAAAAGATGCCCAAACATTGTGCAAGCAGGATGAATGAGAAAGAGCGTGATGAGCCTGACAACGGAAGCCCTTCCTGCCTTCCCTATCCGGTTCTCCTTATGTGCCTTTGATGTCCAGGAAACGTTCTATGTGAATGATCCAATCCATGGTTTGATCTGCCTGCCTGGGGTCGCGGCTGGGATCGCCTTGAGAAAAACTGTTTTGGTGGGCTTGCTTCCCGCTGCGCTTGCGATCGCCCTTTTCCTGTCTCGAGGTGAAGCTTTTCGTGGACTCCATGGAGTTTCAGCGCATGCGCTTCATTAAGCAGCTGGGCATCTGCGAATGGGTGTTTCCAGGCGCAACGCACAACAGATTCTTCCACTCCATTGGCACGGCCTACCTTTCTTGGGAGATGATCCGCGGGCTTCAGAGCCGCCAGCCGGAGTTACAGATCTCGAACCGCGATCTCGCCTGCGTAACTTTGGCAGGCCGCAGAAAGCCCAAATGTTCTCTCGCCCAAACCAAAGCAACGGAGTCATTTTCGGCCCTTTGAAGGCCTTTGCCACGATCTCGGGCACCCGTGCTTCTCCCACATGTTCGAGGTCTTCATGCACCAGCTGGGCCACGAGAGGTGGAGCCACGAACAGGCCTCCGTCGTTCTCGTCAAGGACTGGCGAGACTCCGGCATCTGAGATTCCAATCCCTCAATGCCTCAGAAATATCCCCCAAAAGGCTTTCATGATTCTAGCCCCAACCACCCTAAATACCCGAGGAATATCTCAACACAGCCCCTATGAGTCTTCGACCCCCGGAGGAGTTGCTGAGGCGCTTTTGGCCACGGCTGTCTTCAGAGCTGGGCCTCGGCTCTGATGCGGAGGGAGACGACCAGCAGCCATCCCGCTCAAAGGGTTCGAAGGGGCCAAAAGTAGGTGTTTTTTGTCTTCATCCTTGGGTTTCTTGAGCTGGTGACTGCGGGGGCAGAGTCGTTGCCCTTGAGGCTTTCTGGTGCTGCAGCGCACAGTAGGCGCACACTCTTGCGAAATGCCTCTGGGTCTCCACCCTCCCTCGAAGAAGCGAAGAAAAAGGGAAGGAGGACGGGGGGACGGGGGGACGGGGACGGGGACTGAGGCTCATCCAGGAGCTCATCGATCCTCCGAAGGCCGAGATGGAGAAGCTGAAGGAGGGCAAGAGGCTGAAGGAGGAGTGGGCCAGCGTCCTCAAGGGGCGGACTGTGGACAAGGCATGGATTTACGAGATCGCCCCTTGTCCTTAGTTTGGTACCATCATGTATAATGTATGTGTGCCTTTTATGACAGCACCGATGTCGGAGGTTCCGACAAGGCCAAGCTACCGGTACATCGTGTGCCAAGCAGTCAGTGTACTCTATCTGCAGCGATGAGCTGAATAGCTTATAAGGTTAGCAACTGGCGGACGGGCATCGACGTCGACAAGTTCGACTATTTCAGGCCCGGATTTTCTGAGCGCCGTCGGCCTTTGGCTCGTCACAAGAAAGAGTGTACTGTAGCGAGTCCGGCGCATAATATAAGTATAGTGGTGATCAGATATGTCTCAGCCAGGTCTCAACATAATGCCAAAGCAGCTCTGCTGCTCACATGAGCATTCTCAGCACCTCGTCAACTTATCGCTCCCCTTTGTCGGGCTCGAGCTTGAGGCATAAAGCGACCTGCAAGCCTAGCAGACCGAACCGGACATCATGTGGAAGGCCCTGTTCCTTGCAGGGCTGGCTTGCGTGCTGGCGGAGGAGGATGGTCAAGATGGCTCCTGCATGCTGCAGGCCCAGGCTCACGGGGCTCACAAGGACAAAGTCGCGATGGTCGAGGCAAAGCAGATGAAGGCCGAGCTGAAGCACGCCTTGCATCAGAAGAGTTGGAACAAGGGCTTCTGCAAAGGGGAGCCCCTCACGGAGTTCAACTTCAACGGCTTCAGTCATGGCACCGAGGCAGGGATCGGAGCGCGTGGCTGACAGTGGTTGAATAGTACTACTATAGTACCACTGCAGTTTGCTCCTTCGGGGCTTGCTCGATCTACTGTAGCTGCTCTCTTTCTTGGACTCCCTCGAGCCCCCACTGCCCCACCTCTCCTGGCCTGGCAGATCAAGCCGGATTCCGTGAAGGGCATGACGATCACGGCCACTCGCCGCGCCACACAGCCGGAGCCGGGCTTTGGCAAGCCTTGCCCGGGGCCCCTCCTGATTTTGGACACCCGCGAAGAGTTCCGCAGCGTGGACAAGGACCTGCAGCGCTGCAAGGACTGCACCATCGCCGTTTGGTCCAAGGACGGCAACCGGCGCAAGGTCAACGACTGCGGAGAGCATCCGGGCGTGCTGATCACCATCACCTTCAAGAAACTCCAGAGCTTGGATGAGGTCGGAGTTGCAGAAAATTAGGTTACCTTGTTTTGGGGTCTTTCCAATGAGGATCCTCAGGGTCCCCTAATTTGGTAAACTCCCAGGTGGAGCTCTGGGATCTTGAGGAGCCCACCTTCGTGGAGCTCTACGGCACGAAGAACCGTCTGCTGAAGAACATCTCCGCCCCCGATGGCCCGGGCCAGGACGGCAACCCGGCGGTCCTGAAGCTCTTGACCACGCACGTGCGCACGATGAAGATGTATTTGGGAGGCTCCGGAGGTCTGCGGCGATTCACCGCGTGCAGGGGTGGCAGCGTCTGGGGTGACCCCCACATCTACACCCTGGACGGTGAGAAGTTCGACCTCTACGAGAGCGGCACCTACACCGTTTTCCAGTACTCCGGCCAGAAGCTCCAGGCTCCTAACGCGCCCAAGCACAAGGGAGCCAAGGGTTCCAAAGGCCCCAAGGCAAGCCATGCCATGGTGGACTGGAAGCTCTACTCCCACTACGGCGGCCCCTTGTGGACGGCCCAGGGCCTGCTCCTCTTGGATCATTCCATGGGACGCTTCCGTCAGGCCCTGGAGCTCTCGAGCAAAGACTGCCAGTGGCGCAGCAAGACGGGCGAGGACGGCCACTGGGAGGTGCTGAAAAGGCGCGGCCACTCCCTGTCCCTCCTGGAGGATGAGGAATACGTCACGAGCTTCGAGTACGTCAACGAGAAGAAGATCACGCTGCGCATGAACGGGGAGCGCGGGAAGAAGGACACCATGGTCCTGAACACCGTCTGCAAGCCCAGCGGCATCAACCTGCGCGTCAGCATGCCGAACATGGACGACAGCCAGTTCTTGGAGGGCCAGATCCAGGTGGGCAATGGCGGCAAGCACAAGAAGAAGTTCCAGACGAACATGGGCTGGGCGAAGTTGGGTGGCACTGCCGAAGCCGCAGACTTCCTCGATCACCTGGAAACCAAGCAGACCTTCCTGGAAGGCCACGGCCACGGCAGCGAGGCTTCCTGTGATGAGGCCGAGCGTGCCAAGGCTGAGAAGCTCTGCCAGAAGCACCTGGGAGGGGAGATGCGTGAGGCCGACGGCATCAATGCAGAGATCTTCGAAGACTGTGTCTCCGACGTTTGCCAAGGTGGGGAGGAGTTTGCTGAATCCGCAGCTGAGTTGCTGGCTGCCTAGGCTCTGCGACTAGAGCGGCTGCATGCTTCTCAGAAGCTCCTCTTGGCAGTTGTTGTGCCTCCCGCAAAGACGTCGGGGTGGGCTCAACCTGCCGCTTTTAAAAGTGTTTGTTTTGATTTCGCTCTTAAGCCATTATCTGCAGTGCCTTCCATAGGAATGCATGCATAACTTAGATGCTGGCAAAGACCTACGTCTCCAGGCATCAGGCAAATCGGCAGTTTTTTCACTCGCTGTGTGCATTCGTCACATACGTGGCATAATGCGTTGTTGTCTTGTTCAAGCCCCGGCCGAAGGCGCGATGCCCTCTTCCTCGGTATTGGTCGGCAGCACGATCACAACCGCTACATGAAGTCCGTCAAGGCCATGATGGGGGAAACGCCCTGGGGCTCAGTAGACCAATGGAGCCTCAACAGCCACCCGGGAAGGTGATCGTGGACGAGGACGGGCTGACAACCATCTCGCCGCCGGAGAAGGACAAGGCGCGGCGCGCCTTGACCGGTGTCTTTGCAAACTCCGAAGGTCTGCTGGGATCAGCGGGGTGATTACAGGCTGGGGTCTGTCTGTTCGGGGGCTTGGGGGTTGTTGTTGTTGGGGAGGGTCTTACCTTGCGGTCTTCACTGCCCTAGGTCGTCCCTCCAAACTGCACGACAAGCACGGCAGGACCACATCAGGGAGAACATTTTGGAGCTACGCAAGACACTGCATCGGTTCGCCTACCAGCACAAGACGGTGAAGAAGTTGGAGCAGCACATGATTGACATTCTGAATCTGGGCCTCTTCAGTGCAGACCACGTCGTCTTGTTGTCATCTTGCCACTGCTTCCTAATTGCTCCCTCATGCGACGACAGCGTGTCGTCAGACGAGGATGCTTTTCAACAAGCATGCCACGGTGACTGGAACAAACAACCGCCGAATGACCATCGCGGAAGCTGCCCTTGAAGTGGACCTCGTGGCGTACCCCAAGCTCACAGACATGCTGGTGGAGACCAGGCTTCTGCTCATGAAGCTTTTTGCCTCCTTGTGCACCCCACCGTGACTTTCACAAATCTAAAACATCCCCCGAAGTTCAAGCTGGGCCAGTCTTCGCTTCAAAGCCTCAACTTCAGAAAGGCATTCCGATCCTTTGCATGCCTCTGCCAAGGCTGCTGGAAGCAGAGGAGGAAGGCCTGAAAGCAGCTTCTCGGCTTTTTGCTCGGCCATTCAGGGCCCAGAGGCTCTACTCTCTACTTCTCTCAAACTCTTCCTCCCGGCCTCCCTTGCCAGGATGCCTGGAGCTGATTGAAAGCCAAAGAAGCCCCTGTGAACCCTCTGAGCCCTGCTGCAATGCGGATCTTCAATTGTGTATGGGTAGCCTGAAGCAGGGGAAAAATAGGAGCTTTAGGAAATAGCCCCTACAGCCCCTGTAAACCCCACACTTGAAATCCGCGAGGCCTGCCAGTTGTATCAGAAGACCTTCATCCAGAGGAAGCTGATGAGAAACGTCCTGATCTGGTGGCTGCCTCCTGCAGAGGAGCTCTGTTTTTGTTTCGGGGGCTTTTGGGGCTGGGTGTTGGGGTGTCTCAGGGTTTGTAGGGTCTGCCTGTTGGGTTTAGGCGGTTTAGGGTTTGTCGAGAGCAGGGTAAGCCCAAACTCACCAGATGGTCTTCAATGCACCTCAGCACCGAAAAAACCTAAGAGCCGCTACAAGTCTCGACCCCCAGGAAGTCGCACAGCGCCTTCCCACTACGCAGCAGTTCCTTCGTGAGATGTGGGAGCTGTACGACCAATCCGGCCCATCCAGGCAAAGTCAGCTGAGTTTTCATGCTGGAACGTCACATGCACAGTAACGATAACAAGAAAGGTAATCATAAGGGTGTATGATAATACTTGTATAGTAACAACAGTTGCAATGACATGGCTAAGCGACATAGCCACCATGACAGAACTGTATATTCAAGACCATACCAACAGTGGTTAAGAGACAACCAAAAGTATGTAGTCATCTGAGATACTATCTCTATACATGTTCATTTGGGTGGTGGAATTTGTGTTACAACATGGTAGGTGCGCACTTGACTCAGTATATCCTTGGGCAGTAGCCGTCTTCACACAGCGGTGCTCTGAGGGGTGTAGCCGCCTACACCAGACTCATGTGCAAATATGGAAAGAGTACTCTTCTAGCTCGGCTTGCGAAGAACGGTGACAGAGACGGCCAATGAAGGCCATCCAGAGACTTTGCCAGAGATGAAGTGCGATGCGTAGATGCGAAGCTCCACTACGGCATGAAGCAGGTTCGGCATCTCCGAGCCATTTTTGCTTGTGCGGAGATGGCCCCGGACTCCAGTGACACAGTGCCTCCAGCCGTCCGAAGGTGGACCCGATCAAGAAGATTGTCTTCCATGACAAGCAAGGGCAGCCACGCCTTTTCGAGGATCATGATGCAAATCCACTGCGTCAGAAGTTCTTTGTGCTCTGGAGCCCCCCCGACGAGTTGGAGCAATCGGACGTGCCGCAAAGGCCTCTTGGTCGCCTGGCTTGGGTCTCGATCGGGCTGAAGCTTAAGCTTCGCCAGATGTAGCACCTTCGACGATGTCCATGCCACCTGTCGAAGCATAGTCTTGTGCACGGAAGCGTTTGTGCGAAGTTTAGAGCTAGCGAAGCCCTGTGAGCCCCGAGCCCTGATCTGGGATATCGTTCCGGCTGCGCGAGCTGCGGCTCGGTCTGAAACATTGCGGGAATGTCTGGGTTCATGACCTTAATCGTAATGCTTTCAAAATTCAATACCGGACCTGCCGTTGCAGCTGCGAAGAGAAACAGAGGCCCTTGCTGAAACGGTTTGAGCGAGCTCAGTGAGCTTGTCCTGTTTGGAGTACTGATGTGCTGCGCACCTGAGGCTGTCCATGGCAGCCATGGGGGTGGCATCGAAGTACACCACGGAGCCGGAGACAACGATCCTTGGCATGCCAGGGATTCTGTCGGTTGAGGGATTGATCAGATGTCTGAGGCTTGCAGCTTGGAGGTACTACAGGTCGCAAGCAGTAAGTCTGTAAGTATTTCGTCTTTTCAAATCGAAAGAAATCCCCGGGTACCCGAAGACTCCGCTCCGAGGCCCGTCTCTCCGCTTCGGCGCAAAAGCAGGCGACGGGCCTCGGATTCCAGGGAAAATCTCAAGGGGGCACGAGTGGGCACGAGCGGACAGACGCAGAGGCTGCAAAGATGCTGGTGGCCGTATCAGGAAGAGTACGTCTCAGTGAGTGTGGTCCTGTGCCCGAGGTCCGGCGACCTCGAGGCGTCGCCGCCGCCTTCCACGCCCAAGGCCCGGAGAATCTTCGGAAAGACACGGGGGCCTCGGGAGACTTCCGGGCTTTGGGAGAGTCCCAGTTCAAGGAGCTGTTCAACCCCTGACGCGGAAGGTCCGGCTTCGGCAGAAGAGGCAGCTGCAGGTGGAGTCCTCCTATCCTGCTGCTCGACCGGAAATTAATTACCAGTGCTTCCATTCTCAAAGAATTCATGGGTTTGGGCCCCTTCACTGAAGCTCCCAGCTCTTCTCCAGGTGAGTACGGAGATCTTCGAGAGGAAGCTGGATTGAAGGACGCAAGACGCCCATGCCGACCGGCCCTGAACAGACCCAGCTCCGTGCAGGGATTCGCGAGACTCGAGATGCAGACCCAAGCCACCAAGACGTGCGCCATTTCCAGATCTGCACGCTTTCCGGCGTCCCCGGCTGTTGCTAAAAGCAGAGCAGCAGAAAGTGGTTTGAGCTACGTGGATTACTGGAGCTGCAAGCCTTGGGCTTTCCCTCGCAACTTTGGAGCACGAGTGTGGCTCTTGCCTTCTGGGTTGCTTGGGAAGCTTCTGCACTGCGCAGCAGCGGTGATGGCCGGATTTCTGTGAGGGCCCTCGATTCTGACTGACAGGGTCAAGCCGGAAAGCAGAGCACAAAAAGTTGTCTTTGAGGATACAGGCCCTGGTCGAGCGTGCAACCACGTCGAAGGAGATTTTTGGTTTTGACGGGGCATGGGGTTTTGGCTTCAATGGTCTTCTGTGTTTGCGGCTTGACATCTAAGGTTCTTGCAGAGTACGACAGGTTGCTGCTCTCAAGCTGTCATGCCTCATAGGCGAGTGCAGCAGCCAGGACGTCTGAAGAAGTTCAGGCATGTTCACAGCAGAGTTGCACACAACCCTTGGCAAAGTCTACTTGGCTCGTGACTCTAGCATTGCCACGAAGCCAAAAGTCAACCTGACAAAATCCATCAACTTATTAGCAAGCTCATGTTTCCAGACTTTTTTGTTGCTTCATTGGAGCTCCCAAGCAGCCTGCGAAGACCGCGGAGTTGCTGCGAAGCCTCGTAGCCCCAGAGGACATAATGGACTGCACGCTTGCCAGTGACCATCTCCCGTTCTGTCACGTGCTTTTCATTGAGAATAAACCCTCGAGCAGCAAGCAGCAGTACAGGATTGAAGCCAGGAGCTGAATTTTGTGTGCCGTCAAACAACACCGAGCGAGTGCAGCTTCCCTGCAAGATGCACAGCTTTTTCTTCGTGCACGCCTCAGCTGTCTGGAGCCCTGTGCCCTCATCCAGCGATGGACGATCGCACATTCGTGAAGAAGTTGAGTACACATCGGAGGGACTGGCCAAAGAAACGTGAATGCCATCCAAATTGGGCCTCGGTGTGCCACGATAGACTGATCCAGAACCTTGGACTCGTCCCTAGACTATCCGCTAGAATCCGCTACTTGTAGAAAGGAACTCTTGGATTCATATCCGGCTTGGCAGTATGAGTGGGCCATCTTTGCAAAGGGATCGTTGTCCCGTCGGTGGAACTCGCTCTTCATCAGCAACAAAGCCTTCAGCTGCTGGGGTGATGCCAAAGGTCAGATTCAGCTGCCGCAGAATTTCTGCAGTCACGTCTCAAGACACGCCGGATTGCGTGCAGCAGCCCGAAGGTCAACACGGTTGTCGCGGCTTCCCCGACGACATTACATAGATCTTCTCATGAGGCCCGCAGTCATGCTGTTGTCGCTGGAGTCTTCACTTGAGGTTTCTCCCAGAACCGGGGCAATCCCAAAAGAACAAGATCACTGCATTCCGGTTTCCCATATTCTTAAACGCGCCCCCTCATTTGGCGATGCCGGTTGGCCCCTCATTTGGCCATGCTGCTTCATCTTTGTTCCCCATATTCTTAAATGCACCCCTTATTTGGCGATTCCGGTCTGACATCTATCTCAAACAGGTCCCCTGATTTGGCGACTCTGGTTCATTATATATCTCAAGCACGGCGATGCTATTTCATCATCTTTTTTAAACACGGCTCCTCATATAGTGATTCCGGCTCACAATATATCTTTAACACGCCCCCTCACTTGGAGATTCCGGTTCAAGATATATCGTCAACACGCCCCCTCTTTTGGCGATGCCGGTTCCCCATATACCTTAAACACCCTCCCCATTTGGCGTTTGGTGATCCTATTTCATCATCTATCTACACGCCCCCTCGTTTAACGAGTCCGCTTCCCCATATTGTTCAACGCGCCCCCTCATTTGACGACGGCGACGTCCTCCGTCGCTCGGAACTCCGAGGGGTTTGGAGCTCGTTCAGCTCATCGCAGGCCTGCAGCACCCTCGAGGCCATCCCTTCGGCTGCGAGGCCTCCAAGCGAGTCACCAAGTTTCCGCGAATGAGGGGTCCCCTTGTCTGGGGGTCCTTAATAATACGGATCCTGCTACATCTAGGGTACTATTAACCATAAGGGTCCCCCACAATGATGATCCGCCGATATCTTGGATACTACTTAGAATCAGGGTCCACTATAAGCAGTAATGGGTTTTGCTTCTCTGTCGAATCTCGGCTGGCAGGGGCCCCACCTGCTTTGGATGAGCGGCCCACTGCAGGGGATCCTGAAGGCCCGGAGCGTCACCAGGAAAGCGAAGGGGACCGGGACCCTCCTTGTGCCCGCAAACAGGGGTAAATATTGTCCCAAAGAGTCGCTCTGCTTTTCAGGGTGGCTGGCGCCTCTTCCGCGCTTTAGCCATCGAGACTGTGGCAGCCTGGGACTAAGAAAAAATGCGCACCGAAGCGCATCTCATCAGTAGTTTATCAGGGCGATGTGCGGGGCCCAAAACGTTCAGCCAAAGCAAGCGGCAGAAGGGCTGCTTGATCCTCTCGTTGTGGGTCTGCGTGGCTCTTGGGGGCAAGAGTTTAAAAGACCTCAAAATTTGAGTCTAATTTGAGTCTGCACCCGGGCCAAGTTCAACATCGACACAGAAGTCTCCACGCAGCAGCTGTGACTGGCCACGGTACTCACACAGTCGCATCAGATCCCTTTCTGGTGGCCTTCTAGTTAAGCCGCTTCTCCTACTTGTAGCAAGCGTACCCGTATTTGCATTGGATCCCACGACCGTTGTTTCCGTTGATCCTTCGTATATGGTTTCGAATCGGCTAGCCCAAAGTGGTGGTTGATCGTTCACCTTTGGTTTGAACCCTACAACCCCCTCTGTCCGCACCCGGCCTCATTCGAGACGGGCTTGTCAGGTCCGCAACGCCATAGGGTCGCAGTGACCATCGCGGCTCTTCTCAGAGCAGTTTGGACACCTGTGCGAGCCTTGGCATGCCTTACTTGCGTCGTACGTTTTGCAACTCACGCGGTCGAACTTGTTGGCTTTGAAACGATCGTCGCCGTCATCGCTGGCAGGTCTGGCGTGAGCCTTCATTTCTGAGCCATTTCTGCACCAATCAAGCAGGCATAGAAGAGCGTGGTAGCCCGTGCGGAGATCAGGGTTCGCGATCATGAAGGTTTGCTTGGCCGCGGCTCTTGCTGCCGCCTTGGCGGCGACGGCGATGTCCCAGGACTCTCCCGCTGAGCTTCTTCGTGAGCTGCAGGCGCAGCGGTCGTTGCTGGAAGAGCAGCGAAAGGAGCTGAAGAAGATGACCGAAACTCAGGAGAGTTTTGCTGGTGCCATGGATTCGGCTTGGCTGGTCCTCTGTGGCGCGCTGGTCATGTTTATGCATGCCGGATTTGCTATGTTGGAGACTGGCTGCTGCCGTGCCAAGAATGCCTCGAACGTCCTGATGAAGAATCTCGTCAATGTGTCTTTGTCATAGTTGGGTAACATTTTGTATTTTTAATGCGTACCTAAGCCCAACGTAACGAGAAATGGTAAATTGATTTGTCAATACTCTCCCAAAAATGAACTACATAGGTGTCAGTTGGCACATTGGGTTGGTGGATCTTTGGCTGGGCCTTTGCCTATGGCTCCCAAGCCGGGGGCTTCATTGGTACCGATGGCTTCTTCGGCCTTGGTTTCTACCACAAGGATGCAGCCGGCAACATTGTGCCTGTGGAATGTGAGGAGGGGACCCTATTTTTCTTGACCCTTTTTTTTTCCTTTGCCCTTTTTTTTTTGTTCCTTTGGGGGCCTCGGTTAAAGGCGGTCGTTCTCCATGCGTTTGCTTTGCGCTCCGCTTTCTGCCGCTTGCTGCTTTCTTTGCTTGTTGCTTTGTTGTGATTGTTGCTTTTGCTTTCTGTTGTTTTTGTTCTGGAGAAAAAACACAACAAGGGCAAAGGAAAATTCTACACCCATGCGAGGACGGGAACTGCCAGTCCACCATGCTGAGCTGGTTCTTCCAATGGGCCTTCTGCACTGCCGGCAACATCCTCAGTTGAAGCACGTCCTTGCAGCGAGTCTGTCTTTCTACGTACATGTTGCACGTTACATTGCTGCATGTTGGCTCTGAGTGGCTTGCAATACTGTTTTTTCTTGCATGCAGGCGCCACCATCGTGAGCGGATGCGTGGCAGAGCGTGTGAAGAGCCCCACCTATGCTGTGTTCGCGTTCTGCATGACTTCTTTCATTTCCTGCCCGTGGGCGACCTCCTCGTGGTGGCAGGGGTCCAACGAATGCCTACAGCGCGACGGGCTCGACAATACTGAGGATGATTACCACGTCTACGACAAAGAGGACGACTACATGAGTGATGTTGGCAATCAGGACCACTGGTGCTACGTTCTTGTACAGCTGGGAGCGCTTAATTAGAGTCCGAGGGACATTCTGGTCTGGGTGTACAGGTTTTGCAGGTTCACGCTGCTTTGTACAGTTTGGTGGGAAGCATCGCTGGAAAGGCGGTGTTGGATGATTGAGGATGACTTGATTGGTGCGCCAACACGCGCCAGTCAAGCAGCATAAAGTGGTTTGCACAGTTCAGAGTTGTTAAATCTTTATGAGGACGGTTGGGTCCGAGATGGAGGCCTTCGCAGTGCCTTCCATTTCGCTATGGGGGAAGATGCGCGGATCTGCGGAAATGAGGTGCGCAAGCCCTCTTTGCTTGGCACTTTGTGGCCGCGGTCAAGCATGATGACGGAGATTTCCCGGGGGATCTAGATGGCGGCCCTCTTTGCTGGTCATTGTGGTTCACTGGAGTGTGGGAATTGTGGGGCGGTGGCCTTCTTTGCTTTCCGCTTCATTGTCTTGGTGGATGTACTGGACGCGGATATGGGGTGCTAGCTTTCTTCGCTGTCACTTTGTGGATGTGGTCTAGTTGAGTTCGGTAACCGACGTCTTTCGGCGTCGTTGTCTCTCTTGAGGTCGGCGAGCTCTCTCTTGTAGACTTGCTCGTCTACTTGGTGCATATTTATTGGAATTTGTTTCGCATTTGTACAGTGGTTGATGAGTCGTCCTTGATGGACGAGTTGATCGTGTGATTGCCCCTTGAGGGCCTTTGAGGACATGCCCCTTCGTGGGGCCTTTTCGGTGTCTGCCGCGGAAGCTGCTTACACAACAAAACCTTTGACTTCTTTCATTTACCCCATCATCGTCGCTTGGACCTGGGGCGGCGGCTGGCTCGCCAGCATCTTCGGTGTGGGATACATGGACTTCGCAGGCTCCCTACATGCGCTTTATCCCGAGTGTGTGCGTCCAGCAGGCTCTCTGTAAGTCGATCTTGGAAAGCGTTCGGGTTTTGAAGGCTACCGCTTAGCATTGCAGGATCCGGCGTCGTTCACTTCACCGGAGGCGTCTGCGGCCTTGCTGGCACGACCATCCTCGGCCCCCGAAAGGGACGCTTCGAGAATCCCGAGGAGTTCGAGATGCACAATGTCCCACTGCGACCTGCCGGCGCTTGCTGTTCAAAGTCCGAATAGTGATGATGCAACATATACTCACACATAATTAGTATAACAGTAACATATATCTGTATATATAGCAGTGTACAACCTGACCTGAATCTAGTTGGATTCAGTATGCTGCATGCTGTCAGAAGAATGACATCCAAGGGTCGTGCTCGGAACCTTCGCGCTTTGGTTCGGCTGGTATGGCTTCAACCCAGGCTCCACCCTCTCGATGCATGATAAGGAGATGGGTGCCCTCGCGGCGCAGGTCGCAATGAACACCACTCTCTCTGCCGCCACCTGCGGCATCACCGTGTTCTTGCTGAAGTTCGCGATCGTGCGCAAGTACGATGTCGGCGCGCTTTGTAACGGCATCCTTTCCGGCTTGGTGTCCATCACTGCGGGGTGCGGGAACATGGAGTGCGGCAGCGCTGTGCTCACCGGCTTCATTGGCGCTTTCTTCTACATGGCAGCGTCCATGCTCCTTGTGAGACTGAAGATCGACGACCCCGTGGATGCCAGCCCGGTGCACGGAGCCTGCGGCATTTGGGGGCTTCTGGCAGCTGCGCTCTTCGATTGGGGGAAGGGCTTCGACCACTATCACGGCTGGAGCGGGTTCAGCTGCATGGCCGGTGACGATGGTGAGTGCATGAGGCATATTGGCGGCACCGCCGTTGGAGCGCAGATTGTGATGATTCTGGCCATCATCGCATGGGCTGGGACACTGTCCACGCTTTCCTTCCTGGCCCTGAAGTTTTCGGGGCTTCTTCGCATTGGCGAGCACATTGAGAAGGTCGGCTACGACATGCACAAGCACTCTCCTTCGAAGGCCTATGCCTTCAATGCCTATGGCGGCTATACCAAAGAATCATCGAGTGAGGCTTCGGGTTCAGAGGGTTCAGAGTGAGTGCCTCCAACCCATCTGGAAGACCAGCGTTTTCGCAGACTCCCGGTCAGTGACATGGGCTCACGGCCCTGTAGGGTGCACAGAGCTGGCAACATTTTCCAGACCAGATCTGTCCACAGCAGCCCTCCCACTGCAAACGCCATGGGCAGGGATGGGACAGCTCGTGATTTTGACAGTGCAAGAATTATCTGGACGATGGTCCTTTCGCAGGGCTTGACTCCTCGAGATCTGGGCATGCAAGGCGCTCGCCTTGCTTGCCGTTTAGCATCGCGGACAGGTATGTTTCTGCAACGCAGTTGGCCGAACGTGCCGCGAGCAAGTCTCGGCTTGAATGGTGACAGACCTCCGCGCCTGTGATGGGGCGTGAGAGAGCCTTGAGCGCATTCAAAGCCGGTCGGCTGTCTTGATGCCGAGCTGTGAAGCACAGCCGTGTTTTGGAAAGATGTGCATGCAGGCCAGTTCGAAGCGAGCTGTTGTACGCATGAGTAGTTCGAAGCTGGGCTTTGAGTCGCGGCTGAGCTTGACCAAAGCGAGGTAGCCGGAGGGCGTTGAAAATCCACATTGCCACTTGGCCCGGAACTCAGGAAGACCTGGTCTTGAAGAACTCCGCAGGATTTTCGATCTTGTGTATCCCTTTCAGGCCTCGCGCGCACGAGCACTAGTCGAGGGTAAATCAGGCGAACATTGCCGCTGCTACTGCTAATGATGATGATGATGATGACGACGACGACGATGAGGTGATGCGCCGACGGCTTCCGGCTTCCTCATGGCTCAAGGCTCTTAGCATGTCCCCTGCACAGAAGTGCAGCCTCTCCCAGGCCGTTGCATGTGCCTCGAAGAACTGCAGTGAGCTTCGCCAGGTCTACGACCGGTACTAATGATCATTAGGGTCCACTATTAGCAGTGGGTTCTGTTCTTTCTGTCGAATCTCGGCTGGTAGGGGCCCCACCTGCTTTGGATGAGCCAGATGAGCGGCCCACTGCAGGAGGGATTCGGTTGGTTGCAGGGTGTCATCTGCATGGAGGCAGATGAAGATACAGGAAGACACATGAGATCGCAGACTGGAGGTACTACTAGTAGCAAGTACTTCGTCTTTTCAAGGCAGCAGATGTAGGTCCCAGCTAAAAAGCAGGTCAAGGCCCTCGGATTCCAGGGATGGTCAAGTACGGGAGATGCCGGACATGAGCGGACGGACCGAGAGGTTGCAAAGATACTGGTGCATGAGTGTGCGGGCGGGTTTGTATTGCGTGTGTTGTGTGTAAAGCAAGTAGGCTCAGCAAATGGGCCTATAAGGAAGAGTACGTCTCAGTGAGTGTGGTCCTGTGCCCGAGGTCCGGCGACCTCGAGGCGTCGCCGCCGCCTTCCACGCCCAAGGCCCGGAGAATCTTCGGAAAGACACGGGGGCCTCGGGAGACTTCCGGGCTCTGGGAGAGTCCCAGTTCAAGGAGCTGTTCAACCGCTGACGCGGAAGGTCCGCCTTCGGCAGAAGAGGCAGCTGCAGGTGGAGTCCTCCTATCCTGCTGCTCGGCCGGAGAATATCAGTGCTTCCATTCTCAAAGAATTCATGGGCTTGGGCCCCTTCACTGAAGCTCCCAGGTGAGTACGGAGATCTTCGAGAGGAAGCTGGATTGAAGGACGCAAGATGCCCATGCCGACCGGCCCTGAACACACCCAGCTCCGTGCAGGGATTCGCGAGACTCGAGATGCAGACCCAAGCCACCAAGACGTGCGCCATTTCCAGATCTGCACGCTTTCCGGCGTCCCCGGCTGTTGCTAAAAGCAGAGCAGCAGAAAGTGGTTTGAGCTACGTGGATTACTGGAGCTGCAAGCCTTGGGCTTTCCCTCGCAACTTTGGAGCACGAGTGTGGCTCTTGCCTTCTGGGTTGCTTGGGAAGCTTCTGCACTGCGCAGCAGCGGTGATGGCCGGATTTCTGTGAGGGCCCTCGATTCTGACTGACAGGGTCAAGCCGGAAAGCAGAGCACAAAAAGTTGTCTTTGCGGATACAGGCCCTGGTCGAGCGTGCAACCACGTCGAAGGAGATTTTTGGTTTTGACGGGGCATGGGGTTTTGGCTTCAATGGTCTTCTGTGTTTGCGGCTTGACATTAAGGTTCTTGCAGAGTACGACAGGTTGCTGCTCTCAAGCTTTCATGCCTCATAGGCGAGTGCAGCAGCCAGGACGTCTGAAGAAGTTCAGGCATGTTCACAGCAGAGTTGCACACAACCCCTGGCAAAGTCTTCTTCCGCGATCCTGCTTTGGGCCATCGAGCAACATCGCTTGTGTCTCCTTTCACGCACTGCCGAATGCAAGAGAAGCAAAGGTCAGATGTCCGAAGCAAGCCACACAGGGATGACATTTCTTGCATTGACAATTCCGAGCATCCGTTGAGCCTTGACGGCGCTTTCCCCACTGCCTGCATGAAGAGTATGTTGCGGTGCACAGGACCCGGCTTGGCCCATAGGGGTTTCTCCTGCACTGCATGCTGCAGTAGGTTTCTTCAAAGGCTGTTGGGTGCCATGATCCAAGACTGTCTGTAAGTTTGTTTGCGGCGGTGCGTCCAAAGGACAGAGTCGGTGAAATCGGTGAAATGCGACAGGAGACCCTTGCACATGGCTTGCGCAAGAAGCGCAGGCCGGTCCGAAGTGCCACCGAATGGTCACGGTTCCCACATCACGACCTGTTAATACCCCGTTTGCAGTGCATTCATGGTAGTGGGTTGGCTCCCGGAGTCTTAGGCTTGGCACGGCTGGGTCAGGCCAGAGCCACGGAGCCACGTCCACTTGGCTGCCTGAGAATTGAAGTCTCATGGCTGGACTGGCAGGTCTCGAGTCCGTGGTCAAGACGGCTACCCACTCGGGCACACAGGAGACGTTGTACTCAGGGCGTGCCTCATGCTGCCGCAACTAATGCCGGAAAATGGGTGTAGGACTCGCGCGGGCCAGTTTCCGCAGCAGGCAGCCGCTTGGCCCTCATGCATGTGTGGGCAACTTTCCACAATCGCTGTCCCTTGCCGTCCTGGAATAAGGACGATGGAAGGAAGTCATGAATGCCGGGAATGCAGCAGCCATCCAGAACTTGTGGAGGACAGACCGCAGCAACAGCACTTCCCAAAATGGAACTATGGGACTGCATAGGTGCAGTTGCAGAGGGTGTATAACAGCAGGAAGACCGCAACTTTTTGCAAACCCTGAGGGCGATGAAGCTGAGCTATGGATGCATGGACGCTTCCAGTCGCTTGCTTCCAACTATAGCAGTGTCGATGGTGAATTGCCCTGCAAATTGTTGGAACACAGGTCGGAGTGCGACCTGGACTGGGCCCAGAAATCCTTGAGCCTGCAAGGCCATTCCACACCATGCCTGTATAACTGCTTGTTCTTTTCCTGGGTTGTGTAGTTTTGCCGCGTTGTTCGTGTGCAATGTGCGGAGGCGCAACATCCGGCAGGATGGGCAGCGATTTGCAGTCTTGCCGAGTCTCCATGATGTCTTTGATGTGCAGTGGTCCAAGCAGAGGATCGACCTGCCCAGCTCCACGACTTATGCTTCGGGAAGCGGTGACTTTCTGCAGGTCGCGCTGCAGTTGCAGTCTTTTCTTGCAGTGACTTGCGTCGAGGATGTAGTGGGTAGGCCATTGTAGGCGAAATTCTGGTCAAGCCCAGCCAGGCCTTCGAGCCGCACGAGCCGCAGGGCTCGGAAATGGAAACCTGGGACGGCCAGACAGATTCTGGGCTGACGTCCCTTGCCGCAATAAGCAGATCTTCTGTCGCCCATTCATGAAGATCTTGTTTGGTTTGCAAGTCTCAAAATGAGGTCGCTCGAGCTCGATGGCAGCGGATCTGTTGATTCTATTCCCTTGAACTCGCAGCATGCGGACCGGGCATTGGATGCGTTGCCACGAGCCTGGTACAGTATGGACCGACATTTTTTAAGTTTTACAGCCAGGATCCTTCCTCTGTGTAGTTATGAGGGGGTTGATGGATTCGGAAGTGCACTAATCTATCCTCGCGACCCGGCCCAACTCTCAAATCTTTGGTAAGGGGCCAGATTCCTGCGAATTGAGTGGAGAACAGCATGAAGCAAATGTGACACTCACACAGCTTCCCAAACCATTTCCTCGGTCATAGCTCATAAACCATCTCCTCATCGACTTCTCTGAGTTATCCGCGTGCAGCGATCACTCTCATTCTCAACATGTTCAGAAAAAGCCTGTGCAGGAACAGTTTCACATGCGGAAATTCCCCTCAGCCATGATTCGCTGACACGGGCAAGCGGTAGGTCCGGTAGGTTATGCAGTTGTACCGACATCGTAATTAATCGTCACTGTTGGCGGCGCAGACCAAGGCTGCGTGAGGTCGGTGACAGCGTGCTTCACGAGTCCTTGGAGGCCTGCGCCCTGTGCTGGCAGTGATTTGCCGAGCCCTGCCTGCATGTTTGTATGCAGCCTGCATCGGATGTTAAGGACGGACCTGTAAGTCTGAGCTTGGGCGTGACCGTGGGCCCAGACGTGCGCATGCACCTCGGACAGCAGCCGAATAAACGTACATACTGCAACAGCCAGCACTTCTCGAATCAATCCGTCTGCAGGCAGCCACAGGGCGCTCCGCAACCGGAGCGGCATAGCTGCAGCAGGTTTTTGCCCGGCTAGCTTTACAGCCTTGCGTTACTGTCGAGAGATTTGTGAACAACGAGCACTTGCAATTGCCGGGCTGATCTTGTATCAGATGATATCAAATGTTGTGATTGCGTGACACGTCGGAAAATTGATGCATTCAGGACAACCTCGTCTCAACATCAATGGTTTCAAGCACTCTGGCATCCAATTTTTCAAAATAGCGTTGTAACAAACAGTGTGGTGACCAAGGACCCTTTTGGCCTCCTATCATGGGTGGCTTCCATTTTTGTGGCCGAGGCAGATGCAGAACAGCTGCAGGGAAACTGCAAAAACCCTTTGCATGGTTTTGCAGCTGAAGGATGGCAGACCAGAAGCAGCATTCCTGCCAGTG